ATCCAGGACCTTCTGGCTTTCAGCGTTTCCATGGAGAAATCAGGTGTAATTCTGATAGGTCTGCCTTTATATGTTACTTGACCTTTTTCCTTAGCTGCTCTTAATATTCTTTCTTTATTCTGTATGTTTGGGGTCTTGATTATTATGTGGCGAGGGGATTTTTTTTGTGGTCCACTCTATTTGGTGTTCTGTAGGCTTCTTGTACCTTCATTGGCATGTCTTTCTTAAGGTTGGGAAAGTTTTCTTCTATGATTTTGTTGAATATGCCTTCTGCCCCTTTGAGCTGGATTTCTTCTCCTTCTTCTATACCTATTATTCTTAGGTTTGGTCTTTTCATGGTGTCCCATATTTCCTGGATGTTTTGTGTTAAGGATTTGTTGGATTTAAGGTTTTCTTTGGTTGATAAATCCATTTCTCCTAGCGTATCTTCAACACTTGAGATTCTCTCTTCCATCTCTTCTATTCTGTTGGTAATGCTTGTATTGGTAGTGCCTGTCTGTTTGTCCAGCTTTTCTATTTTCTGCCTTTCTTCAGATTGTGTGTTTTTTAATGACTCTATTTCAGTTTTCAACCCTTGCAGTGTTTGCATTGCTTCTTGCAATTTTCTGTTTATCTGTTCGTCCGTTTGTTGCCTTTTATGAATTTTTTGGTTTGTTCTTTCTTCCATTTCTTGCATTTTTTGGTTTGTTTTTTGTTCCATTTCTCGCATTTTGTGCTTTGTTTCTTCTTCCATTTCCTGCCTTTTTTGGTTTGTTTCTTCTTCCATTTTTTTCATTTTTTGCTTTGTTTTTTCTACCATTTCTTGCATTTTTTGCTTTGTTTCTTCTTCCATTTCCTGCCTTTTTTGGTATGATTCTTCTTCTAATTCTTGCATTTTTTGCTTTGTTTTTTCTTCCATTTCTTGCATTTTTTGCTTCATCTCTTCTTCCATTTTCTGCCTTTTTTGGTTTGTTTTTTCTTCCAATTCTTGCATTTTTTGGTTTGTTTTTTCTTCCATTTCTTTGAGGGATTTTCCAATATCCTCTTTTAGGGCCTCTATCATTTTCATGAAAGTGCTTTTAAGGTCGTTCTCTTCTGCTTCGTCTGCATTGGAATGTTGGGGTCTTGCTGGTGTGGAGTCTTTAGAATCTGGCAGTGTCATATTTGCTTTTCTGTTGCTGACTGTGTTTTTGTATTGTCTCTTTCCCATCTCTTCTTCTAGTGGGTGCAGAAAGAGCCCCTTACTGGTCTGGGGACCAGAGTTCCCTTTTGGTGGGTGCTAGCAAGTCCAATAATCTGGTGGTTCTTCTATTCCTTATCCGAATGCTGGTCCCGTGGGTGGAGAAGAAGAACAGGAATCTGGGGCGCTTATCCTCTTACCTGGTCCCCTGGACCCTCTGCTGGGTCCTGTTGTACTTGATCCAGAAAAGCTGCTCCCCTGGTCTCCTTGGGTCCTCTGGTTTCCTGGTCTTGTTGGTGGGAGAGAAGACCTGGGGTCTGGGTGCTTGGCTCCCGCCGGGATTGGGAGCTCTGTGCAGGTCCCAGGCGATCTGCAGGCACTGGAGCACAGGCAGGGAAGTCTGCTTGTTTACCTGATGCTGCTGGAAGAACCGCCGCTTCCCTGGACTCCCAGCCTCCTCTCCTTTCCTGGTCTCGTTGGTGGGAGCGAAGATCCGGAGTCTGGGGTGCTTGGCTCCCGCCGGGATTGGGAGCTCTGTGCAGGTCCCAGGCGATCTGCAGGCACTGGAGCACAGGCAGGGAAGCCGGCCTGTTTACCTGATGCTGCTGGAAGAACCGCCGCTTCCCTGGACTCCCCGGTTTGTTTTATTGTTGATGTAATTACTTGTCTTTGTCTTCTAGAACTTTGTTCTAAAATACAAGTTCATTTTATATTTGAGCTCATGTTGTATTTCTATTTTTGTTAGACTTTTTTAATTTTACAGTTACTTAATATGTATGTTTTAAAAATATTCTAACATTAGAAAATAATAATATGCTAAAATTATTTGTATAGAAATAAGTTTTATGTGCTGGATAAACCTGTAATATTTTTTCTTCATCAATGCATGTTAAATTTTTTGTTTTGTTTTGATGTTTTGTTTTTTGAGACTGGGTTTGAGATTGGCCAGCCCTGTCCTGGTACTCACTCTATAGACCAGACTGACCTCAAACTCAAGATCCACTTACCTCTGCCCCCTGGGTGCTGGTTTTAAAGGTGTGCGCTATCAATCCAGCTAAATTTTAATTTTTTACTTTTAATACCTATAACTTATTTTATTTTTAACTCTATTCTTCTTTGTGTCTTTTCTCATCATGCATCTTGATCCCATTGATTTCCCCTTCTTATCCCTCCCCTGCCCATGCAACCACCCTAAAATAAAATAAATAAAATTTAAAAGAAAAAAAAAGGAAATCAATCACATCATGGAAACTATAGTGTGACACAGTAAGTCACACAATAAACCCTGTTATCACTCGCAAAGAGTCATTGGTCTTGTTCAAGGCTTCTGGTTTCTACTACACTATTGATGCTGGGTCCTCACTAGGACTCTTCTTGGCTATCCTGTTGTTGCCCTGTGTTGTGGAGATCCTGCAGCTTTGGGTCTGTGGATTAAGTCCCTTTATGTGCTCCAGCAGATCATAGATGGGGTGGATGTTGGGGTGGGCCCTGGGCCTGGGTAGCTGCAGGGTTGGTCTGCCTGCCAGCTCTTCCCTGTCCTCACCACTAAGGTGCACTCTCTATCATTGCCCTGGCCAGTTCACCCCTTGCTGCAGTGAGCAAGGGGAGGAGCCAATTCTCCTCTTTCACTCACTCAGGGTCGGCTCTCCCACATCTACATCATCAGGGCTAGCTCTACTGTGTTTCCCAGGTGAGGTGCAGGGACCACTCTCCCGAGTGCTGCTGCTGGTGAGGAGCACAGTCAGCTCTCTGCTCTTATGACCCCAGGGCCAGCTCTTAACATCTGACACAGGTGGTGAAGGGTGAAGGGGGGCATCTCTCCTGAGTTCTGTAGCTGGTAAGGAGGAGGGTCAGCTTCCTCATCTGCCACAGGTGACAAGGGGCAAAGGGAGCATCTCTCCCCCACGCTCACCTCCTCAGGACACATGAGTAGTGGGGATGTTCAGACTGGCTCACCCATGTCTCCACCAACAGGGTAGGCTCTACTATGCTGCCCTGACAATGTGCAATGCTGTAGCTGGTGAGAGGCAGAAGCAGCTCTCTTGCTTTTATGACCTCAAGGCAGCTTTCATATCCACCCCAGGCATAGAGCAGCAGAGGGAAGACATCTCTCCCCCACCCATCCCACCCATGCCTGCAATATGGCAGATGAGGGATGGGGCCAGATCTCTCATGAGCTCATGTTCCCAGATGACTCCTCTCTCTCTCTCTGTTTCTGTCTCTCTCTCTCTCTCACACACACACACACACACACACACACACACACACACACACACACACACACACACACACACACACACACACACACACACCATCAACAGGGTAAACTTTGCTATACTTCCCAGACCAGGTGCAGGGACCACTTGTTGTAATGTTGCAGTTCATAAAGGGGAGGGTCAGCTCCCTCGCCTGCTGGAGACAGTAGGGGTGAGGGAGGAGGGGGTGAGCATCTTTCCCTCACCCCCACCACTGCACCAGTACACACAGAAGGAGGCATACCAGCTCTGCCCCTGTCATGCCCTCAGGGCTGACTCATCCATGCCCCTCGTCTACAGGATCAACTCTACTGTGGTGTCCAGGTGAGGTGCAGAGCCTGTTCTCCCAAGTGCTGCAGCTGGTGAGGGGGTTGGGTCAGGTCTCCCTCATCAGCCCACTCCTCATTGCTTTCACCTCTTCAGATATGCCCCCGTCCACAGGACATGAACCATTCTGCCTCTCTTTCTCCCTTACCACACCATGCATTTGCTCACCATAATAGTGCTAGTCTGCTCAGCACCACAAGGTGCCAGATGGGCCCGTATTTTCTCCTCTGAGCCCAGGGCAGTTTCCTTGTCCCACTCAGTCTGTGGTGCTGGGCAGGACCATGTTTCCTTCTCAGAGCCAGGGCAGTCTGCCAGGGGCCTGCTTGTGGGTTTAGTTTCACTCAGTCCATCATCAACTTATTTTTCTTTTAAAGGCTTGCGTTTAGCAAAAGATGGCAAGTAGCTTTTTTCTATGTGAGAGTAGAAATGCTAGGTTTAAAAAAATTCATTGTTTTTGTGTGGTGGTGGTGGTGGTGGTGCAGGGGTGTGTGTGTGTGTGTGTGTGTGGTCAGAGGCAACTTGATGTGTTTATGTAAGTCGTTCTATTACCAATAAAGACTCAGGAGTCAAATACTGGGGTGAAAACCTGATAGATAAAGAAGTAGCAGAGGAATGACCAACCGACCTCTCCGTATTTCCCAGATCTGTGAAATCTCCAAGTTCCTCCCTGTTCCTTGCTATGCATCTTCTCTATCCATATTCCTGGCTTATCTACGGCTAATTCTGGTCAGCTAGTCTCTGGTTCCACCCCCCGACTCAAGGTTAATTTTATTAGCACAGTCTCTGGGTGTCACAGTGTGATCAAATGTCGTGCAACATCAACGGGTAGATGTTGGTTCTTTGCCTACACCATGTCAATCCTGGGTATGGAACTAATATTGTTAAGACCTGGTAGTAAGCGCCTATACATGGTGACCTGTCTCTTTGGCCCTTGTGAAAAAAATACATAACAGTGAGATTTTTAAAGGAAAAAAAACCCCTCTTCATTATGTATGGAAAAAGCATGACAACTAGGTTTAAGCAGGACAGAATTTGACTCTTGAGGATCTATCAGAAATCGAGCATCTGAAGCAGTGTCTAGTTTTTAAAAACTATTTCATGGTAGAAAAGATGTACATCTCAGTATTTATTCAAGGTTGAGACTCAGAATTCTTTCCTTGATAACATAGAAAGTCTAGGTTATTCGGTGAAACGAAGGTGTCTGTGGTAAGCACTGTCCTTGCTGTCTTCTGAAGACTCCCTGTCCCCTGTCTCTCCAGATGGTGATCTGTCATGTGGTGGGCGAGACCCTTCAGTTCTTGGTCAGTGCAAGGCCTGCCTCCACTACCAGTTCAGAATGCCAGCTTTATGATGTCCGGCTTTCCCCATTTCATTTAAAGGTAAGGCTGTGTAAATGCCATCAGTTACAGGAAATCCATAGTAGATAGAACCTTGTGTTCCCCACCATAGGAGGGATACAGAGAGGACTCATTCATGCTGAGTTATAGAGTTCTTGGTCTCATGTTCTTATTAATTATGAATCAAGTCATCCATCAGCTTTAAACCGTAAGCCACCATCAGCATGACTCAGGACAGCACAGCACACTGTAAGGTCTTTACCCAGAATGGATGATGACACCCCACAGCTATGTAGATGGAGAGCCCCATTCTCTGGTTCCTCTCAGCCTATACTCTCTGAGGCCATGTGGAATTGGGACAGAATTGTGTATGACTGGTTTAGAGAAGTAACTGGATACTGGGTGAGGGTCCTGTGACCTACCCTGCCTCTTCTGTGAGGAAATGTCGGCATTTGACAAACCCAGCTTTGATGATCTGGTGCAAGCACATACAGATGAACTGATGAAAATGATTGCAGTTTGACTCTGAAGATAGCCTCATTCAATAGGGTCCGTGAGGGTTACAGGACTGTGGGCTCATGTTCCTGTTGGCTGTACATTAGCTGTAAAGAGCTCATATACCACCTCACTCTTTGCATGGCCACTGTGCCTTCTATGCTTTCAGCTCAGTCACCATGGATGTAGTCCTCAAACCATACCTATTAGCCCGTTCTCCTGCCAACCTCTCTTAGTGTTAGGGATGCTTATGATTCCTTTTGGTTACCTGGAGATATAAGACGTTCTCACCACCTAAAGGTCCAGACTCTGATCACACCTACCAAGCCCCTTTTACTATGCCTGGCCCTATATAGGGCTCCACAATGAAGGCCTGGCCATCTTTCCCTGATTTTGTACCCTCTGCATGAGTAAGGACTATTCGGTATAGGAGACCAGTTGAGGCTGCTGAGAGGGTACCATTATATGTGGCACTCCATATGTAACCCAGGGACATGTGAAGACAGGGTGCCCTGGGTACCTTTGCTCTCTCCCCTCACCTATGCCTTGATGACGGAAAGAGAAGCACAGAGCACAGTGAGTTCCTTATTTAAATAAGACGCAGAGTGCCAGTGACACTTGGCATGAGGGGCAGAGAAGAGGCAGGAAAGGAGTTTGGCGGGCGGGTCTTCATATCCATTCTGAAAGAATATTGTAGACCAGGGCAGAAACTAAGCTATTGTCTGTAAGAACAGGTGACAAAAGGAACACACATAAGGAACTGGAAGGGGGGCTTGGTAGTTAGAAGCACATGCTGTTCTGTAAATGACCTGGGTTTGGTTTCCAACATCCTCATGGTAGCTTACAATCTTTTATAACTCTAGTTCCAGGGGCATCTCATCTCTTCTAGCCTCCAGGGGTTACAGGCATGCACACTGTACACTTACATACACATATGGAACTCATACACATTATCTTAATTACTTTTCTATTGCTGTAATAAAACACTATGACTAAAAGCAACTTGGGGAGGAGAGGACTCATTATAGCTTATAATTCTCAGGTCCAAAAAAAAAAAAAAAAGCTTTTTGTATCACTTGGCAACAAGCCAAGGAAATTAGAAGGAAATGTCCTGTTTATTCTTCATATACTCAAAGAAATGAAATTTGACAAATGAATGTGTTTCATTTTGTAGAATTAGGAAAATTAAAATATGTACACTATACCATAGATACATATTCAGGATTTCAATGGGCAACTGCCTTGAGTTTTGAAAAGGCTGATTTTGTAATTACACATTTATTAGAAGTTATGACCATCATGGGAATACCTATACAAATTAAGACTGAATACTCCAGCATATGTCTCATGTAAAATGAAACAATTTCTTGCATGTTACAATGTAAAGTATATTACAAATATACCACATAATCCTACAGGGCGAGCAGTTGTAGAAAGATCTAATCGCACTGTAAAAGATATGCTTATTAAACAGAAAGGGGTAATGAAGACTCCCAGAGATAGATTACATAATGCTTTATTAACTTAAACATTTTTAATACTAATAAGAAAGGAACGACAACTGTGGAAAGACATTGAATAATAGAAAAAAAGCTCCTGAATTAAATCAGCCTGTATACTTTAAAGATATGTTGACCTCAGAATGGAAACTAGGATATGTGTTATATTGGGGGAGGGGTTTTGCTTTTGTTTCCACAGGAGAAGAAAAGCTATGGATACCATCAAGATTGATAAAGATTAGATTTGAATAGGAGAGACCGCTTGATTAAAAGAGGTGATAGTTTATCCAACAGCATGGCCATTCAATCTAAACTAGTGTATAAGACTAACAAATGCCTTTCATTTGACCAATATAACCTGCCAAAAAGTAAACTCCCTAAAGTCAGGGTTGGAGCAGGGTTTTGTTTTTGTCTTTCTAGGAAAATAAAGGCATCCAAAAAGGAATCACACTCCATCACTGAAGGAAGTCAGGGTAGAAGAAGTTCAAGGCAGGAGCCTGGAGGCAGGTGCTGATACAGAGCCGTGGAGGGGAGCTGCTGACTGGCTTGTTCCCCATGGCTGTCTTAGCCTGCTTTCTCATACAACCCAGCACCACCAACGAGGGGTAGCACCTGCCCATAATGAACTTTGTTTTCCCATATCAGTCATTAATTAAAATCCCCACAGACATGACTAATCTGATGGAGGCATTTCAAAGTATGGCTAGGATTGAGTCAAGCTGACAAAAATCAACCAGCACACACATAAAATAAAAATAAATCTTAAAAAAAATGAACACGCAGAGAACATCAGTACACATGTACACAGCATATACACATAATATGTACGCACACCTTGTACAGACACAGCACATAGTACATACATGTAACACATATGCATGTGCATGGCACATATGCATGCACACATGAGATAGGTAAGGCTCAGGCGAGGAACTCAGCTACCCAGTAACTGGTGGTTTGTTCTCCTAGATCGAATTCCACATGGAAGAGAAGAGAGAGGACATTCAAGTCAGGTGGTCGTTCACCCATGCACCAGAAACAGCCATCAAGATCCAGCCCCAGACCCCAGGGGAGGTCAGTCCGTAAGTTTTTTGTCATTTTTTCACTAGCTTACAGATGCATGGCTAGGGCATGTCTCAAACTGGGCATCTCTAAGGTGGGCAGCCCCTGCTGGCCATCTCCCCATACTGACCACAAGAGACAGGGCACTGTGGGGGTCAGTGTTGATGGAGAGGACACTTTTCCTTTCCACGTTTTGGGGCCTTAGCGTATGAGGACAGAAACTGGGCTGTAGTGAGTGTGTGCAAAAAAATGCCCTGGTGTCATTTTTCTTTACTGGACAGGAAGTCCTTCCTGTGACTTTCACAAAATTCCCTTGTAGTTCTGCTCTATTTCAACTAAGTCAGCCACTGAGGCTTCATCACAGTAGAGATGTGTGGGCTTTGTAGTGTGTTTGCCAATAACAGACTTTCCTTTTCCTCTTTTCATCTCTCTTTTGTCTTTTCCTCTCCATTTTTTTCCTCTGGGGCTGGGAATGGAACCCAGGGTCTGGAACATGCTAAGCAAGTGTTTCACCCCCAGTCCTGTCAATATTTTATCCTTTATGATTGGATGTAGATGTGTGCGGGGTGAGGGTTAGGGTTTGGTCGGTTTGGCTTTGGTTTGTTTTGAACTGGTAAGTTTAACACACACACACACACACACACACACTCTGACTGAAGCATATTAACTAATATCAGGTTGGTAACACAGCTACAGGGGAGGGGGGGTGACTCAAGGAATCTTGAACACCTAATGGTCCACTTCTCGGTAAAAGAGATTGAGCATGTCAGGGCTTGTCTGTGTGGACAGCAGGTCTGGACAAACGATGTCATTGTCTGAGAGAAGCAAATAGCAGAAGGAAGGAGGGGGAAGAGAGGATGAGTTGGGGTGGGGCAACCCTTCCCTCTCTTCCCTTCTGCTGCCTGCTTCTCTCTGGCGATGGCATCATTTGTCCAGGCCTGCAGTCCACACAGGCAAGCTTAGCCATGATGAATTTCTTAATGTGATGAGAGCACCATTCTGTGTGGTTCCTTGAGTCATTTTCCCCATTGATAGCTGTGTTAACAATCTGATGTTGATTTATTTGCCTTAGTCAATGTTTAGGTGTAGGATTTTCCCATCTTTATTGATTAATATATTTATTTAATTTATTTTTATTTAATTTATTTTTATGTGTGTGGGGGTTTTGCCTGTGTGTGCTTGCAGAGGCCAGAAGAGGGCATTGAATCTCTAGGAACTGTAGTTAGAAAAGGTTTTGAGTTATCTTGTGGGTGCTGGCAATCAAACTCAGGTCCTCTGGAAGAACAGCCAGTGCTCTTAACTACTGAGCCTTTTCTTCAACCCCTTGTAAATATTTTTGACTATTGAAAATTTGATGGTTCAGCAGTTAAGAACACTGGCTGCTCTTCCAGAGGTCCTGAGTTAAGTTCCCAGCAACCACATGGTGGCCCACAACCATCTGTAATAGAATCTGTTGCCCTGTTATGGCATGCGGGTATACATGCAGAGCATTCATACATAAAATATAAACAAATTAAATTTAAAAAGTGAAGAAAATTTGCTCCAAAGTAAGCACCACTGACAGACTGGGGAAAAGCTCTGCTTCCTGCCATTCGACTTTACTGATCTCTGCACAAAAGTGACTTGTGCCATTGTCTTTTACAAAGATGACCTCATTTGCTGGTCAGTGGTGGTGCATGCCTTTAATCCCGGCACTCAGGAGGCAGAGGCAGGCTGATCTCTGTGAGCTCGAGACCAGCCTGGTCTACCAGAGCTAGTTCCTGGATAGCCTCCAAAGCCACAGAGAAACCCTGTCTTGAAAAAAAAAAAGAGTACTAAGATGATCTCATTTATTCCTCTTCTGTACCCAGCCAGCATCATGCTGTCTACACTGTGTACTTCCTGTTCCTCATCCTCTAGGCACCCCATAGATTTCCCCATGGAAGCATTCTGGGGACTACTTTGTGACTCAGTAGCAGACCCACAGTCTCCTAGTGAGTGAGAATAGCACTGGGGAGTCTTTCTTTGTATAACTTTCTGGTTCTAAGCCCTGACTCTCTCTGCCTACCATCAAGTTCTTGGCTGGGCTGTGCTTCTCTGCAGCTGAGGCGCCTCATATGGTTCTTGGCACAATTGGTTCATTATGGGTGAGGTCCCCAATTTCTCACTGGCTGTGCTCCTGGAGGCTGCTGTTGTTCCTAGCCTGTCATGGGCCAGCAGGAGTTGCAGTCCTAGCAACAAGAGCCAGCATAGCCTTCATACCAGGGTTGCTTAATGTAGTCTGATGTAATATCATGCCTGTCAGGTACCTACGTCTGGCATGCAATGATCTGATGACCTTTCTCTCTTCAGAAACAGGTGCTCGAGGTAAATGTGCTTTCTGAAGCCCTTAAGGATCTTTTCAAGCACCTAGTTGGTGCTGCCTCTCCATCTGTATTTCTGAGCACCAAGCCTATACAAATCAAAGAAGCTCAGGTAAGCCCAGATCACAGGACACAGGTGATTCTGACCTTGCGTTTCCAGTGCCTTCACTTCTCATGGTGGGGCTGATATTTCACGGGTAAATATTGTCCACAGTATTAGAATAGAGCCTCATGATCAAGGCTCCATGGTGAGAGAGGTTCCCAGGCCACTCATTATTGTTCTTCTGGTTAGGCTATGGTCCCCCACTTTGCACCATTCATCAAATACTGTCAGCTGGTGGTGGTGTTTGGTGCTAAATTCTAGGTGACTAGGGTCATAGGTATATGAGAAGTCATCTTTACTCTCCTTTGTTTACAGGGTGGCAGGCACAGCTCAGCTAGCAGATGAGAACATAGTGGGTTTATAGACTTCCCTAAGGGCCTCTCAGAGGCATTAAGTGGGTTGGGGATGCTTAGCCTTCCCAAATACCAGAGTCAGTCATATATCCACTGATGTTGGAACAAGCCCTGGCTACTGCATCTCCCAGGAATCCTGTTAATGGTGGATTCTTGAAAAGCAGAGGGGATTGGTGATCATAAATTTATCAAAATTGGAGACAGTTAACAAATAGTATTTTATTTTCAGGACCTATGCTATCATATCCAATCACTTTCTAAAATGAAATTGTCCAATTTCATTAAGTACTACACCCAAGGACAAGGCTCTCCAGAGAAATTGAGCATTTGGACATGGGCATGAGAAAGATTTATAAGATATATTATGGTGTTGTGGCTGATACATGCATGGTATGATTACAACCCATGTATGAAGCAAAGCTTAGAACAGCAAGAGAGTTAATGGTTTGGCCTCAGTCCATGTTGACCACAGGCTCAGAGCTCAAATCCAGGAGGATCAGTGTTTCTGTTTGATTCTAAAAGTAGAAAAAGATCATGACCTGGCTGAGGTGTCTGGAAGGAAGAATTCCTTCTCAGTTGAGGGTGGCTCATTTTTCTACTCAGGCCTTCAACTGAGTAGATGGGATGAAGTCTACCCCATTAGGGATAGCCATTTACTTTACTTAGTCTGTCCATTTAAATGTTGATCTCTTGGGCTATAACTTAGTTGGAAGAGTACTTGCCTAACATATAGCATACATGAAGTCCTGGATTCAATTTCTAAGATCATATATACCAGGTATAATAGCACATGCATATAATACCAGCACTCAGGAGCTAGAGGCCAGAGGATCAGAAGTTCAAGATTATCCTCCATTACATAATGAAACTGAGGCTAATCTGGGTGACACAATACCCTGTCTCAGAAAAATAAAATTCTGTGTCAAACCACCATCATAGAAACATCCAGAGTAGTGTTTGACTGAGTACTGGGGTATTTATAGCCCAGAAGTGGAACCCTCATAGTGCAGTGGTTAAAGCACTTTTGTGCCAGTATGGAGACTGGAATTTGGATCCCTAGAACCCAAAGTAAATGTCAGGTGGACATGGTGGTCTGCCTCTAATTCTAGCCTCAGAAGGCAGAGACCAGGGGATCCTGGAGCAAGCTAGACTAGCTGTATTTGTGAGCTTTGTGATCAGAGGAGGAACCCTGCTCAATGAATAAGGTGGAGAGTGATTAAGGATTAACACCTACTGACAACCACACGCTCCCATATGCACAGACAAGTCCATGTTCACACACACACACACACACACACACATACACACAAACTCCCAAACATGTAAACACCCATATATACATATACACATATACATGAAGGAAAGAAAAAAAATAGCCACACATATACAACTGACAAAGTATCACATCTCCATCGCATCCCAGTGCTTTAAGGAAGTTTATAATTCTTCCTGGCCTTTGGCATTCTTCACTCACTGCAGGGAAGAACCTGGTCCAGTACAGTGGTGTTTGCCGGGTGTTACTATGAGTGTCTCTGGAGATGTTAGTAAGCATCCCCCTAGAAGTAGCTCAAGTCCAATCAGCACCCAGGATAGCTCCTGAATGACGTTCGCTGTCCGGGAGTACCTTCTGGAGTCTTGAATTCTTGTGCTAAATTTAGGAACCCCTGTGAGCACCATCATGGCAGCCAGTAGCTGGTGTCCTTCTGAGATGCGATAATACTGCACCTACCTCTGTACTCCCACTTGTGTAATGTCAGGGGTCCATAGATGTTCTTCCTGGGATGGTGGGCTCTGCCTGGAGGCAAGAGGTGATCACAGACTGATGGCCATTCATATCTAGATACTGTCCTGTTGAGCACTGCAGCTTGAAGATCAGGTCACTATCTAAAGCACCTCTCCTGGGTCTGAGCATGGAACCAAGTGCTGGCTCGTCTTCACTGTCCTGGGAAGTAGACCACAAGCCGAACTTGGATAGGGTCATCACTATTTGATGGTTTTTTCATTTGGGATAGAAAAGGCACACTATGGGGCTGGAGAGATGACTCAGTAGTTAAGAGTTCTTGACCACTCTTCCAGAGGTTCTGAGTTCAGTTCCCAGCAACATGGTGACTAACAACCATCTGTAATGGGATTTGGTCCTCTCTTCTGATTTGCATGAAAACAGAGCACACATATACATGAATAAATAAATCTGGAAGGGAGGAAGGGAGGGAGAGAGGGAGCTAGGGAGGGAGGGAGGGAGTAAAAGGCTCACCTCAGAGGCAACAGAACCTTCCCATGAGACAGTAGTGTCAATTCTAAGTTTATCCTGGCAGTCAAGTTCCCTTGCAGTATCCCCGAAGACACTGGCGTCAAATATAGAAGCTGGTGCCCCTGGCCATCCCCTCACATCCTCACAGCTGTTACCCTGCTTTTCTTCCCACAGACTCTACAGTGCACTTCCTCCACTGCTCAGGAACCCTGCCCTCCCAAACCTCCAAGGGCTCATGAACTAAAACTGCAGGTGAAGAATATCCGAGTCTCCCTGCTAACCCACCCTGGTGCTTCAGGTGGGTGCTGGTGCCCCCAGGGCCACATAGAGCTTCCCACTGCTGTTGGAGGGACCTTCCTTGGCTTGGGCTGGTGAATCCTCATATGGAAACATGGTTGGGTCTGCAGGATGATTCCCTACCTTCCTTGGCAGAAATACAGTGAAAAATCTGGTCTTTGGCTAATGGCCTTGGGGTCCAGAGTCCACAAGCTGTAACCCCCTTAACACAGTAGTAAGAAACTGTGGCTGTTGATGACCAATCATATATCCCCAAAGAGCTTGTGGAAAGGGTTCTGAATGTTCCAGATGCAGACAGAGGGCAGATATTTGAAACAATGGCAATGCTAGTAGCAGAATATGATCATCATTCAGGATATACATGCCATGAAGTATCATACTACACCCCGTAAATATGTAAATGTTATAATCTAAACTTATCTCATGCACGTGAAGGCTCAGGGAGAGCAGTGTCATGGTTGCTCTATCTGTTTTCAGCTTGACAGATACTAGTCTTGGTTTTCTTTTTTAAAACTGAGCCAGTTGCCGGGCAGTGGTGGCGCACGCCTTTAATCCCAGCACTCGGGAGGCAGAGGCAGGTGGGTCTCTGTGAGTTCGAGGCCAGGCTGGACCGACAGCCTCCAAAACAATACAGAGAAACCCTGTCTTGTAAAACCAAAAAAAAAAAAAAAAAACTGAGCCAGTAAATTCATGTTGAGTAGCCCTGAGCCTCTGAGCAGTGCAGCTTCTGTTATCCTAAAAAGTGGGATATGAGGAGGAGTTTGGGGCATGATGGGGGATCAGAGGGCTTAGGCTCACTGGTGCCTCTGGTGCTGCTGATAGGAAGAAGGCAGCTGCGAGCCCTGACCCTCCTCAGGATTCCCAATGATCAGTAAGGTTCCCAAGCCTAGCAGTCTGAAGCAGGATGTAACTGTTCAATTGCAGCTTGATGTTGATGGAAATAGAAGTGTGGTTCTGTCATTGTTTAAGAATGCTAGGAATTCTGGTCACTATTTGCAAAGCCTCCCTCCCAGTTTACAAGGGATAAAGAGGCTTCATTTGAGCTGTCTCTACAAAGCTGACTGTAGAAGATGGCTTTTGGTGCAAGTACTTGCATGTCACCTTTCATACCTGTATCAACTAGTGGCCAAATGGATCCCCTGGACTACCAGCCAGGGGTGGGAGGTCCCAGCTTTGGGGTGCACACACTGTGAAGCCAGATTCCATTCTCTGTCCATACTAAGATGCCAACATCAGGAAATGGATCTGAGTCTTCCCTTGAGGAGAGACTGAAAGTTACCCTGACCAGATGCATGGTAACGAGTCGGGCTCTGTAGTAGTTACTAACCACAGAGGACTTGAGGACTGATGCTGTAGAGGAAACATTTTCTCAGAGCAGGAACAGCTGTGAGATGTCACAGTGCCTATTCCAAGTACCCCAAAAGGACCTTGGGTTAGATAAGGAATGAAAACACCTGTTTGTTATAAGTGGGACATGGGTTGCCTGTGAGATTTTAAACTTAGGAACAGCCATCCTTTGGGCAGGTTGTTAGTCTTGTCTAGAAGTGGGCCAAGCCTCAGGACACGGGCATGTTGTTTCTGGGTGAGACTCCACCCCTGAGAGTCCTTCCTGCTGCCAGGAGTGATGAATGGATGGAAGGATGTGGACATTGGGGTCAGTCTGGGGCTGTTACTGCCAAGTTACTGCCCCAGCATTGAGAGTGTACAAATGGCAAATGACAGGAAGGTCTCAGGTATAGGTAAGCTGAGATCCTTGTCAGTTAATTTATCCTTCCTTGTGTGGGTAAGCAAAGTCTTAATGCAATGAAAAAATAAAAGCCAATACAGCCTTGCTTTGTCTCATCACAGGCAGCGTTAGCCATGTGTGTGTGGCCCAGCTGAATGACCCTGCACAGCAATTCATTGGCACCCTAGTGAGAAACACTACAGACCTCTCTTGGGAGGAGGAATTCACCTTGTGAGTACAGCCTGCATCCTCAGGGGCTTGGGGGCGACAGTTAGGTCTGCTCAAGATGGACAGATCCTAGAGTCATCGTGTAGTACTACTTATACTAAAAGTTAATTAAGGAAATGAAAACAAGTCCCCAGTTTTTGAAAGACAGCCAGCCCTGTATCCAACATGGACTTCTTTTTAAAGGCAGTTCTGGTTATCACCTTTCTTCTCTTTCCTTGTTGCGATACAGGCCTGTTAAGAGATTCCCTGCTTCCCTTGGCAGCCAGCCACACAGAGTGGAAGGAAACTTCTAACTAATGCCAACCTCTGGTGGGAAAAATAGAAAAATGGGGACATGCAAATCACTTGTAAATAACAATGTAAAGATCCTAACCAATATGTCATCACATAGGGTCCAATGATACATTAAATACATCCATTTGGAAGTTGTGGCTCTGGCTGGTCTTGCAAGGGACTTGCGTTTGGTTCCTAGCACCCATATGATAGTTCATAACCATTCGAAGAGATTGATGCCCTCTTCTGGTGTCTGCAGAGACCAACCATGCATTTGGTATACATACATGCAGGCAAGACATGCATACATGTAAAATAAAAAATATGTTTAATAGCCATTCTATTAAAAAAATAAATGAATAAATAAATCCAAGCCCGGTATGGTGTGCATGCCTTTAATCCTAGTATGTGGGAGGTAGAGGCAGACAGATGTGAGTTCAAGGTCAACTTGGTTTATATATTGTGTTCCAGGATGGCCAACACTGTGTAGAAACCATGTCTCAAACAAACAAACAAACAAACAAACAAACAAATCCACTTTAGTTTGCACCAGAAATGTAAAGGTAGCTTGATATAAAAAAAAATCTGTCAATAACTTCTACTTTGTCACTAGATTATAGTAGAAAGTAAACATCCTATCTTCACACCTTCCTCAAAGAGAGTCAGTTGTGTTTAATACTGATTCTCAGTTTTCAAACCTTAACAAGGACAAATTCATGAACTCTTTTGTAATAGGAGTTTAAAATCTTACTACGGATGATCAGTCCCTGGAGCAGATCACTGGCATCAGGACAGGGATGATTTTGATTTAAAAGAACTAGTTAGTTCACTTAAAGAAGAAAAAGAAATGACAGAAATGATAGGCCGATCTTAGAAAGGGAGACAGTGAGATAATTCAGAGGGTAAAGACACTTGCTGCCAAACTTGACAACCTGAGTTCAATTCCCAGGACCCACTTGGTGGAGAAAACCAAGTTGTTCTCTGATCTCCAACTGTGTTAGGATGTTAGTCTCAGTTTATTTTCTGGAAACAACAACTCTGGTTTTTTGTTTGTTTGTTTGTTTGCTTGTTTTTTGTTTTGGTTTTTTACGAGACAGGGTTTCTCTGTATTGTTTTGGAGGCTGTTGGTCCAGCCCGGCCTCGAACTCACAGAGATCTGCCTGCCTCTGCCTCCCGAGTGCTGGGATTGAAGGCGTGCACCACCAACGCCCGACTTGATTTTTACAGCCCTAGATCTTATAAGGACTTTGCTGAATAAAATTTGTTAAGGCCAAGGCAACAGACCACTAGACATCTGTCAAAAATACAGTTGCTTTGTAGTCTGTTATATCTCAAGGAAAAGGTGATGGTGGTTATAGCATGGAAACAGGAATGCTACATGTATCTTAAGCAAAATGTATCTTAGCTAGGAGGAAGGAGGCTTGTTGGATATTTTGTGTTCTCTACTCAGTTCATTATACATAGGTTTTCTTTTAAAATGGTAACAGTGACATGAGACTTTAATTTTAAGGTAATAAAAATCAACCAAATGAAATCAAGGTCTCAGTCTCTACTGGCCCATGGCTGCTGTATTAGCTCTGTCTAATATGCTTGTCACCATAGGATGTTCCATGGATCCCTCTGAAAGGCTAATCCCTGGGTGCATCAGTGGCTATTTCTGAACTGGTAGGCAGCAAGCTTTCTGCCTTTAATGACTGACAACCTTGTGTTCCTTTGCATAATAAAAAATTTACATTGGGTGGGGGAGGGGAAGAAGGGGTCCAGCAATCCGATAACATTGAGCTTTGCAGCGTTCACAGACAGGATTTGTTCTTTCCACAGTGAACTGAACGCCAAATCTAAGGAGCTGCTCCTGCAGATCTCAGAGAATGAGATCTCTTCAGAAGGTGAGTGGAGGACTGCTCCAGACCAGCACCCTGACCTGGGCTCTGAAATGGAGAGGGGAGAAACAGCAAAGGAGGCAGCCCCCTTCCACTGAACCACAGGTCTCCCAGTGAAATGTTTGGTACAGAGTCAAACATCAATAACATCATTCATCTGGGGGGCATGTGTGTCTAGTTTCTAAACTTTTTTTTCCGTATATTTTTATTGTGTGAGTGTTTTGACTGCATGTGTATCTGTGCACTATGTGCATGTAGTGCCTATAGAGGTCAACGAAGGTGTCTGATCTTCCAGGACCAGAGTTTCAAATGGCTGTGAATGGCCACATGGGGACTAGGAACTGAACCTAGGTCTTCTAGAAGAACAGCCTGTGCTTTTAGTACTGAGTCACCTCCTCAGTCCCTTTCTTCAAATCTAGAATCTTCTTTCAGTAATTTTTAGAATAGAGGAGCAATTTTGAACCATTCTATACTTGGTGGATTCCCTTTAACTTTTTTTTTCCCCGCCCCTCCTTTTAACTTTTTTAAATTAAAAAATAGTAACAAGCGAGATGGTGGTCGTGCACACCTTTAATCCAGCACTCAGGAGGCAGAGGCAGGTGGATCTCTGTGAGTTCAAGGCCAGCCTGGTCTTTAGAGTGAGTTCCAGGATAGCCAGGGCTACACAGTGAAACACTGTCTCAAAAAAAAAATGTTATTTGAGCTTGAGGAACACTGACTCCTCTTCCAGAGGACCTGGTTTCAATTCCCAGCAATCATATGGTGGCTCACAACCATCTGCAGTGAGATCTGGTGCCCTCTTCTGGCCTGCATGCATACATGCAGGCAGAATACTATACACAATAAATAAATAAATCTTGAAAAAAATAAAGTAGACACATGATTCAGACACAGGAAAGCAGCAGTTCAGGGTAAAGTCACCAACATGAACATGGACTTGAGTATGTACATTGATAGTGCCAATGTTTGTTAGATTCTTCTGTTTTACATTTAGTGCTTTGTTTGTGTAGGTCAGAGGACAACTTGGAGGAGTTGGTTCTCTCCTTCTATCTTGTGGGAATTAAGCTTAGTTTATCAGGCTTAGTGACAAGTACCTTTACCAGATGAGCCATCTCACTGGCCCTTAAATTATTATTTTTTCTTTGTTTTTGTGGTGCTCGGTTTCAAGCATGCTAGATAAGTGTTGTACCACTGAGTTACATTCTCAGACCTCTTGGATGTTTTAGAATCCATGCAAACATTAAAATTGGGAAGGAAGAGACCATTGACCTATCCAGCTATGCTACTGAGTCTCTTTGTGATCTCCTGAAGGGAAGTTGGAAGGCAGGTGACTGACTAGATGATTATGCCCTAGTTACCGTCAAGAGGTCTGTGTGAGCCTCTTTGAGTCTGCCATCTTTAGATGCCTGGGGAAGTAGTAAGAAAAACCTTCCTTTCTTTGAGTGGCTATATGAGACACCCTGCATCAGGCTACCATTGGCTTCTCATCCCTCCTGGTCCTTGCTCCTGGTGGCTAGTCTGGTGGAGCCTGTGAAAGCTCTGTGAATTTTTATAGAAGCCATGCAGAGTGTGCCCATGCAGCCCATGTGTAAATTCTCATTCTGAAAAATCGTCCTATTCCCCATAATCTTTATGTTTGTTTAGTTATTGCGCCCCTATCTCTGTCTCCTTCTTCCTCCTTTCTCACCTTATCTCTCTCTTACTTACTCTTCCTTTCAACACACAGGCACACATTTGAGAGTAGGCTATTTTCATTATGCCCTTAACCCCTCATCCTCCCATAAGTGTTTTTCCCAGGACATTCAGTAGCTTTAGCTTCTTCATTTTTGCTAATGCCATTTCCCCTCTCATCCCCCACTGTTTATCAATTTCTGTCAGTGGTTCAAGGATGGTTGGTACAGTTCCACACTCGATGTGGTTTAGGTATTGTTCTGCCTGACATACAGATTTCCTCTGGAATGCCTGCAGCCTCTACTGACACTATGTAGTAGAGCTAACAGGACATCCCTTGGGGTGTGTGACTGTGGAAGCATCACCATTGCTCTTCTTTGTCTTCTACTCTAGGTCTGTTGGGGACAACAACCATTCACCTGGACTTATTTAGGAAGCAGCCTAATGGCCCACAGACCTTCAGACTGGTCAGTGGGACAGAGCCTGACAGCTTGGTGTTAGGCTCAGTCACCGCAGAGGTATGATGGCATGTCTCCTGCCTGCCAGAGCTCACTGTTCCTTCCGTATGATGGGCTAAGCTCACCCAGGAGGCCGTCTTCTCAGTGTGGATTTCAGGCTCAGGTGGACACATCTTGCCACAACTAGCTTAAGCTGGCTACTATAAGAGATGACTTTTCCCAGTGTCATCTCAGGTGACACAGCAGCACTCCTTTTAAAAATTTGTCTGCTGGGTCATGCTTAGCATTTGATGAGTTTGAGTTTTGCTCTCTTGTGTCTTTGTGAGTCCCGGTTGATTAAAAAACAACAACAACAACAACAAACAAATAAAAAAAACCACTAAAGAAAATGGGTGAAGAAACGAGCAGAAACTAGTGTACCACTGCCAAATCAGCTTGTTACTGTTATCTGCAGGGCCCATTCATATCTGCAGGTCCACAGAGGCAACTTGCACCAACCAGCCTGAAAATATTCAACAGAAAAAAAACACTCAAATTGCATCATATTGAACATGTACAGACCTTTTTTTCTTATCACAATTCCTTGGACTGTATAGAAAAAGAGTTGTTCCCTTGCATTCGTATCATACTTGGTATGAGAGGTCATTACTATACCAGGAAAGGAAATGGCTATTCTGTGCTCTCATGACACCATGTTCTGTGAGGGATTTATGTGTGGGTGTTGATCCATGAGTGTGGGAAGCAGCTGTCCCCGGAAGCCCTGGCTCCACTGTGTTTCAAAATAAATGTCTACTTTTTCCACAGTTTTCTTATATAGAACCTGGTGAGCCTAAGTCCTGGCCTGCTCCTCCTCCTGTTTCTGCTGCAAAGATAGAAAAGGACCGTACAGTGATGCCATGTGGGACTGTGGTCACCACTGTCACTGCTGTGAAGACCAAGCCTCGCTTTGACACTGGGAGGGCATCCCCACTGAGCTCAGGTAAGACCCCAGAGTACAATCTCATTTGCAGGAGATCCACAGGTCCTCAGCCTCTGTGGGTGGGTCTTGTCCTGTAACACTGAGCATTATAATCTGCAGCACCAAGCCTTGGCAGAGAAGTCTGATGGATTGGAAAGAAAGATATTTGGCATCAGACTTTTGTGTTGCAGTTATCTTTATAGTCTGTGAAAAATAGTTGACAAAGAGCCAGGCATGATGATAAATGCCTTTAATCCAAGCACTCGGGAAACAGAGGCAGGTGGATCTCTGTGAGTTCCAGGATAGCCAGGGATACATAGAGAGACCCTGTGTCAGAGAGAGAGAGGGAGGGAGGGAGGGAGGGAGGGAGGGAGGGAGAGAGGGAGGGAGGGAGAGAGAGAGAGAGAGAGGGAGAGAGAGTTCTGCCTGGAAGTTACACCAAAGTTGCTGTCTGGTTCTAAGACTCTAGCCTCATGAACTCTGTACTCCATCACATTCATGATGGTTTAAAGTTTAGTTAGTTGAATGTATGTTAAACACCACTGATAAAGAGACATGATGTTGGGCTGATGATGTGGCTTAATTGGGCAGTGTTGGCCTAACATGGATGAAGCCCTCGATTGTATCCCTAGCATTGATTGTATCAAGTAGACATAGTAGTACATATTTGTAATCACAGCACTGGGGAAGTAGAGGTAAGAGGATCAGGAGTTCAAGGTCAGCCTAGGATATATATGGTACCAGGTCTCAAAAACAAATTTTTTGTTTTGTTTTAACAGGGGCATTTGCATTGTAGCTGATCCCTGGGGTGGGGATGAAAAACACATTTTATGGGTATATTGTTTCTGTTTGTGTAAAGGAATCATCTTCCCAAAGTAGCCCCCTTGGCACAGGCTAGGGACCCACAATTCACATGAGAACTCCAGTTTCATTAAAATGGCTCTGAATTTTTACTTCAGTTTACACTGAGAGGGTATAACTCTATCAATCTTAAAGCCCGGCTCTGGCTAGGAACAACTGCAGGGCCACCAGGTGCAGCAGGGGCCTCCTCTCACTTTCTAGACTCTTCTGTTGAAAACTTTCATGCCCTTGGTGATAGAGTCTTGTTCTTTCAGAGTCCCCTGTGAGAACGCCCATCAAGGTAAAGGTCATTGAGAAGGACATCTCTGTCCAGGCCATTGCGTGCCCCAGTGCCCCAGTCAGCAAGACATTCTCCTCTTCAGACACAGGTAAGACGTGATCTGTTCTCCATCTCAGCACTTCTTAGCCTTAGGAGTGAAGGTTTCCCTTTCTTGTCTTTGGGGAGCTGGGAATGTCAAGTGAAGGAAGACGGAGGACAGAGCTGGGTTCCTGCTAGATCTGTGAAGCACTGCAACAAAACAAGCAGGTCGTGGGGCCCCACTTTGTAACTTTCTGAAAGCTACCTTTCCTGCCCATAGGCACATGGGCGATGCGATGTCAGTGCCATTGGGTGAGCAACACTGGGGCCCCTGGATGCTGTGCTCAGTCCATACTGTGTGTTCAAGCATTTAAGAGCAGTTTTCTGAGCTCTCTGGGTGTTTCCTTTAGTTATTTTTGTACAGCTGCCATGAAGCAGCTGACAGAAACAGCTTCCTGGTGGCTCCAGTTTCAGTCCATCGTAGGGGGCGGGGCGGGACATGGCATTGTACACATGTAGTGGAGTCAGTATCACATTAGCCCTGGAAGTAAAGCATGTCTAATGCCAGTGGCCAGGCTATACCCTTCAAAGGTCTGTCCCTAGTATCAGATGTCTGTCAGGGGGCCCCCACCTTCTAAAGGTTCCACAGCCTCCCAGAGCAGTGCCACTGGCTGGGGAACAAGTGTTCAGAACATGAGCCTGTGGGAGAAATTTGATAGCTAAGCCATAGTATTGCAGCCTGGCTCCAAGGGTTCATAGTCATGTTGTAATGCAAAATGCATTTAGTCCAACTTCAAGAGTCCCCATAAGCTCAATAGTTCCAACGCTGTTCAAGGTTTTGTTTTTGAGATTCAGGAAAGTCATGTATTTCCAGACTGCAAAGGGACAGGGTAAATGTGCCCATTCCAGATGGGAGAAACAGGAGGATGGAGGGAAAGATTAGACTAGAGTTACACTGAACCTCAGCAGGGCACTGAATGCTGCAACTATGTCTGGCTTTTAATGCTGTGGTGGAATAATGTGAGTACCAACAGACACAGCGAGTTCCACTCCAACAGCCTTGCCATTTGCAGCCTTTGTGGCCTCTCTCTGAGGCAAGCTCCAGTCATTACCTACAGCTTTCCTTGGGAAATGATCCATGGTCCAGGGATCTCTACTGCAGCTTAGGTTCCATCCTCGGAGATTCTGCCCTATGATATGCATCTCACAGGAAACCCAACCCTGAATCTCTTGGCCTCGCAAGTTTTCCTTAATCTAGGTGTACAGCCTCTCATGATCCCAGAACTCTTGTATACTGCATGTCTGAAAGCCTAGCACCATGTAGACAACACTAAGTTTCATTGATACGTAGCTAGGCCTCCTTGTATCATGAACACAGTGGCTTCTTGAGTGCTAGGTGGGTGAACCTGTGACAACACTTCTCTAAGCAGCCCCACTCAAGTGGGGTGCCCCTGCAGTTACGTCTTTTAAAGGGAAACTCTTTCAAATGAGCATGCAGTTTTATAGGCTGGAGCCCATGATGTCTGGGGTCTCACCAAACCCAGAAATGCACTGAAAGCATCCTTGACTTCCTCCTAATGGTGCTTATCTCAAATAACCATGGCCACCTGTCACACTTGCTTTGGCAGCTTGAGATGTTCTTCTTTACTGGCCAAATAGTTCATTTTTCATATCTTTCTGCTCTAATTTTTATTCTCAGACTCCACTGTAAGCCTGGCTAAAGCAGCCAGCCGTAACCATGCCACAGCCTGAATGCTGTGCTGCCATGGATTACTTTGGAACTCAGCCTCTTTATAATTTCCAGAACACAGTTAAAATATAGGCAAATCCTGTGCCAGATGTAGCACAAATAGTATCTATTCCTGCTCTCAGTGGAGTCCTTGTTCCCATCCCAAGCTCAGCCTCACTGGCTGCATTTCTCTCGGCACTCAGGTCTTCCACACACCCACAAGAACGAACCTAAGGTTTACTTACAGTATTCTAGAACTTTTCTTCCTTTTTAAAAATAACATTTTTATTTATTTTTGATAATTTCTTACTTTATACAAGATACATTGTATCTTGATCATATCCACCCACAACTTCCCACTCCTCAGATCTCCCCTAACACAAACACCTCCCACTCTCATGTCTTTCTCTTTTTATTTTTGTATAGCCCACTGAGTCCCTGCATATATGGGGACATCTACCATAGCTTGGGTAACCTATCAGTGACTACAACCCCTGAAGAAAAATGACTTTCCCTCCCCCAGCAGCCATCAACTGCCAGGAGCCCTTCAGCTAGGATTAACCCACTCATCCATGTTGAATGCTGACTGGCTTGATCTCGTGCAAGTAATCACTGCTGCTGTGGCTTCATGAGTACAATGGCCATTTCATATCCAGAAGACAGCATTTTATACCCTCTAGCTCTTTCCTCTCCTTCCAGAATGTTTCCTGAGCCTTGGGGAGGTCATTTATTCTCAGCCTTTTTATTCGTTCTGATTCTCTGCATTTACCACTGCCAAAAGGGCTTTTCTAAAAAAAAGCTGAGATTAACACTAATCTGTGCATATAAACAAATATTTGGCACCATGACCATTTAGCAAAACAACAATAGAGGGCTCCTTTCCAGCCCTGGGTTTTTGACCAGGATTATAGGATCAGGAGTGAATTCCTTCCTATGCAACAGACTTCAAATCCAATCAAAAGCAGTTGGGTTACTTCATAACAGTCAAACCATTACATCTTGCTTGTCAGGTCAGTATCATGGAATGCAGGGTCTACTGCTGGGTAAGCCCATTGATTCTTTTTCTCCTCCAGCAGCCTGCATAGCACCTACCAGCAGGGAGGAAGTTTTCAGGTCAGTTCCAGATTTCTCTGTGTTCTAAACAAGTGTGTGGTGTCTTCAGGAATAGATCTTGCCTTCTAGTTACGGTGGGCAGCAAGAGCAATGGCAACAGCCTGTGTCATTTGGGGGACCTCTAGGGCTTCTTGAAGGATTTTTCTAGTCCACATCTCCAAATTTTTCCATGTTCTTCCCACAAGCTATTTCCAAGGGCCCAAGAACCACATATCCAATTTTCATTAAAGCAACAACCCCACTTCTCATGTACCAATTTTCTGGACTATTTTGTATGTTTTGTATCACTGTGACCAAGGGACCTGGATGAAACAGTGTAAGGGAGGAAAAGATTGTTTTGGATCTCTGTTTCAAGAGTAAATTTATGTTAACCAGAGTGTATAATAGGGACTACTCAGATCATTTCTGACCAGGAAGCAGAGAGGGAGTTCTGGAACCAAGGCCTGGGCTATACCCTTCAAAGGAAGCCAGGTTCCATCCCTAAAAGCATTACAGCCTTCAGAGTAGCACCCTCATCTGGGGAGTAGACCCTCTAACCACTGGCTTGTGGGGGACATTTCATATTTAAGCTATATCACTATCAATTCTCTAATTTTAGTATTGTTTTCATGTAATCATCATCTTGATGATGTAAGAAGCATCTTCCTTTCTATAAGTCAGTAAGGGGACCTGAGTTTGAACTCCAGCATCCACTTAATAATTGGGGAGTGGCCGAGCAAGCCCATAAGCCCAGCTCTGGATAGGTGGAGACAAAAGGGTTCCTGGGGCTTGCTGGCTGTCAGTCTGAACCAGTTGTTGAGTTCCAGATTCAATGAAAGACTCTGTCTCAAAAAATCAAGATGGAGAACTGTTAAGAAGAGACCCACTGTCAACCTTGGCCCCTATACATATGCACAGAAGTTAATGAACACATCCATATGCACACACACATATATACATACACAAATGAGACTTATCATAAATAGCAAAAAAAAATACTCCCTTCACTGCATCACAGAAAATGTCAAGTTTCTAGGAACTTTGTGTCAGGCACTAGGCAAGGTCATATGTGTGTAAACCAGCCCTTGTGACCTGTGGCCATGGTCACTCCTAAAACAGTTTTGCTGTCCTTGTTCCTTCATTTGCTTTTGCAATCCTGGAAATCAAACCCAGGGCATTGTGCATATTATGCAAGTGCTCTATCACTGAGCAACACTACCATTTTTCTTTGTCATGTTTAATTTTGCCTTAGCAGAATAGTGTGAACTATGAGTACAAGTTCTCCTAGGGAGAGATTCCACTAAGTATCTCCACTCAGCCACCTGCCTGATGGCCTGATATCTTTCTCCTTATCAAGTGGAGATTTTTTTAAAAATAAAGAAAACAAGAAAAAAGAAAAAGAAAAAGGAAGGAAGGAAGGACAAACGAACTCGCCTCATGGAGCTAAGGAGACAGCAAATGACATAAAACATGCAGAATTTGTCAGCAGTACTTGGTACATTTATGATACAGGAAGGGCCAGCTCTTAATTGCTTTTAGTAGCTGTCTCTGATTACTGTTGTGTGTCAGCCACTTTTGGGAGGGAGAAAGAATATGTGCCTTTGTGAGGTCAAATTTTTCCCAATGTTAAAAGATTTTCTTCTTCTTTCTTTTACTTTTGTTTTGGTGTGTGTGTGTGTGTGTGTGTGTGTGTGTGTGTGTGTGTGTGTGTGTGTGTGTGTGACTACATGCATGTGGAAGTCAGCAGACAACCTGTAGGACTCTATTCTCTCCTTCCCCTACTGGGTCCCAGGGATCAAATTCAAGTTAGAGCATGGTGCCTTTACTCACTGTACCATCTCATCCACCCACAGTTTATTTGTTTTTTGTCTGCTGTCTTTTGCCACTTTGCATAGCCTTCTTGACAAAAAGCACCAACTTGTAAATAGTAAAACACAAGAGTTTTAAACAGACAACACATCAAGGAGTAGCTCATAACTACAGGGAGTAAAGTCGTAGGTGACGGTGAGCCTCCCTTGTTTCTGAAAATAAAGTTTTACAGGAATCCGGCCTTGCCTGTTCATTTACATGTGGTTCCTGGCTGCTTCCACTCTATGGGGAGATTAGTTACAAAACCCCTTGCTTTATCTCTCTCCAAAGTGTTTGTCAGCCACTGCTTACAGACTATTCCTGCCCCCTGCTCTGGGAGTTCCCTGGGAACCTTTTAATTTTGCCACTGAACTCAGTGCTACCTTCCTCCTGGCAGAACTACTGGTGCTGAACGGCTCAGATCCTGTGGCTGAAGTTGCCATTCGGCAGCTCAGCGAATCCTCAAAGCTGAAGCTGAAGTCTCCACGGAAGAAAAGCACCATCATCATTTCAGGGATCTCCAAGGTAAGTGAAGGCAGCAGAGGGGGGGGCAGAGTCTGTCAGCACAGCATTCCCATCCCTCATCCATCCAAAAGTTCCCCTCTACGGAGTCCAATATAATTCTTCCCACCAGAGAGTTAGTTACCTTTGGGATCACAGTAGCCCTTTGTCCTGTTGACACAGGAAGGTGGCAGCTGTCTGCTTAGTGGTGCTCTGAGGCTTGAGAGCGTGGTAAGTCATTTCTGGAAATATTACTAAGAGAGAAAGAAAGGCACATGTAAGAAACCCCCAGTGATGAAGGCTCCATCTCGCTGCCTCCCAAGTTCACTTTTTCCACATCACTCATTTCTAAAACATTTAAATATTTTACAATAAATACATGTATTCCTGTCCATTACTGATAGAAATAAAGATTGTAATATAGAATGTTCCAGTTCCGTTTCTCCGATCTTCCACTCTCTGGTAACTCTTGGGGAGCAGAAGGTGGGTGGGAACTGCCTCAGATTGCAGCCATGCCACTGGAGTGCAGAGCAGGCTAGATCTTCAGTGCAAGGGGCAATGTAGATGGAGACAGTGCTGCAGTAAGTGAGAGATTAGGTGGTTGCAGCCATGACTAGGAAGGATGGATGGGATCTTGGTAGGTCATCAAGAGGATAGGGAGGAAAGCATACTGGAAATTATCCTCTCAGTTGCTGTCAGGTGCCAATGGTGAGTCACCACAGATGATGATATACATAATAAGTGGGTAGCCAGGGCCCAGGACTCCAAGAGAAACCTCATAGGTGGTCTTGAACACCAAGGCAGGGGTGTCTCTTCTTGGGTTGGCTTCTTCAGCCCCCGGGGTGTGAGGGTCAGATTTCTGGGGCAACGGGGCCAAATAGTGGGAGCTTTTATTCAGTCTGGGTTAGATAAGCACATAAGATAAAGATAACCCGTGATCATCTGCTCTCTACTTTCTGACTTTGCTTCAGAATCATCAGATAGTCTTCATATTTAATACCCGTAGGACTCTTTGATTATTAATTTTATTGGCATGCAGACTGTTGTATTGGTAGTCATCATGCACTTCTGAAAGCTGGTTCATCTGTCAACTGTCACTTAGCAAAGCCACTTGTATGACAGCCACCCAGGTTGAGAACAGCGTGGCTGCTGCCCCTTTTAGTCATTCCATCTGGACCACTGTCCCAGCTTTCCACATTACCTGTTAGTTTAGTGCTATAACTTTACAAACAAATACAGTCCTTCAAAGAACACATCATCTTCTGGCTAATCTCTACTTTGAGATAGGAAGAAAAGTGCTTGGTAACAAAGGTATAAAAGACTAAATCTGCCCAAGTCCATGTTCTTCACTGCTGTATACTTTGTCTGCTTTGAAAAAAAGTGCTAGTCCTTGCCATTCACCTTCTGGGACTTCCTTACTGATAGGTCTGCAGGGAGAAGTATGCAAGCTCTTCTCCAGCACCCTCGGCCTGTGCCCTCCAGACTACCTCTGAAGGATTTGTCGCTATGAGTCTCAGCTAAGATGGAAACTTGTTTTATAGGCATTTATCATATAGCACAGAAGCCTTCTTGGGGCTAACTGTCTTGGCTACTGCTTGATATTTTTAGTCACAATGCCTTGGAAGGTGATATACAGGTGATACCAAGCCTTCCCTATCTACCATGTACTCTTGTTACATCTCTAGGCTGGTTTTCCATTTGCCCTCAGCCTCTGTTGTACATCTCCCCTGACAGACCTCACTGTCTCAGGACCACCATGCTGCCCTCATGCTGGACTATGCAGCTTCTATGGACAGCACCAACCAGGGGGATGCCCCATCCACTCTGTGCTCTCCAGAGGCAGCTGCAGCCTCTTCCACCACCCCACCCGAAGATGATGAGCCAGCCCAGGCCCTACCTGCCCTCAAGCATAGAGAGAATGATTTAGACTCCTGGGACCTGGAGAAGGAGTCCCCAGCAGCAGCATGGAGCAGGTCAGCCTTACAGGAAACGGATGGGGACGAACTGTCGGAGAGCTCCTTGAGTGCTTCGGAGCTTGGAACCAATAAGAAGCATAAAGGTACCTGTTCTCAAACCCCCACCCCAGCTTTTCACTTGGGCTTCCCTCTCTGGGTCATTGCGCCCTTGCTGGCCTCCCTGCCTTTTACCCTCTATGAGGCTGTCCTGGCTTCATCCCCTCCCTCCCAGCCTGATCAGCAATTGAAAGCTGGAAGGCAGGTAGAAAGCCTGCATGTGAGCAGCTGGGGCTTCATCTCTTCATCTGAGGGCCACTGTGTTTTCATGCCTCCAAGCAACCTCCCTGTCTGGCTGTCTGTATCTGAAAGCAGAGCTCTGCAAGGCTTCAAAGTGTCACAAAGAGCTAGGTGCCGTGGTGTCCAGGGACAGAGCAAAGTGAGCCGAGACTGGCAGATCACCTTATTTGCTCCTTGCCGTCTCTTCCTCCATCTAGAACAAAACCAGACCTCACCACTTGGAATCAGCAGGATCTACAAGGAAAGAAGCCCCCAGAGTAACTACTCACTGACTTGATACTCACATAGTAACGAAGTCATTTGTTAGCACAATCAGTTCTTTCCCATGAGAAATGAGCCCTCATTTTAGAGACTGGCATTTCTTGGGTGTGGACACTTGAACCCAGACCTTTGTCTCACATTTGGGAAGATCTCCAGGATTTAGAGACTTCAGATTCACTGAGCCTCACCTCCAAGAACTGGGAACCATCCCTACTACCCACATCCTTGAAAAATGAGGGCCAAAGGAGGCACCTCAGTCAAACAAGGAGGTGTTGTGGAACTCAGTATCTACTCCTAGCTATGCCTCATATCTGGAACTCTAAGGCCCATTTCTCTCCAGCAAAGTTCTCAGAACCCCCTTGGAATGCACTGGGCAAAAAGCTTAGCCACCCACCCCAGGGTTAGGAATCCTGACCAACTACTTCTGCTAGGGACGGGTGGGGTCTCCTGCTAGGCAGTTTTGCCTCATGGAGGACATAGGTAATGTCTGCAGACAGCTGTGGTGTCACAACCAGAAAATGGGGTACTAGTGACCCCTAGGGGGTAGAGGCCACAGGTACCACACTCTTTAGGGAACATGGCACAGACACCACCACACAGTGCAACACAAGTCCCAGGTGCTGAGGTTAAGAACCTGCCCTGGGTGGTCTATTCTTCTGCTCATCCCTTAGCCATTGTTGGCTAACTGCTTTCCTGTGACTTGTGCCCTTTGTCAGTACCAAGTGGGGACTAATGAGGGGAACTGTACATTAAAAGAGGAAATAGAGAAAGAAGGTGTTCCTAGAAGAATATTTCATAGCACCCAGCCTCTGTTTCCCCTTGGGAGCTGTGGCCCAGGGCATCAGGTAGACTGGCTACCCTGTGTACACACTCTGACCTAGTCTTTGTCCTGGGATCAAAGAAGCCTCTGGGAGGTTGCTGGGGAAGTCAGTGAGCAGGGAGGAACAGGGGTATATCCTGTGCTCCACCTCTTTGAGTCAATAGTTTATGCACTCATGTTCCTACAGAACCCAAACCTCCCTCTATGCCCTTCAGGTTTCTTAGAGATGCTAAGCCCTATGCGTCCATCCACTGCTGCTTTCCTTTCTTCTAGCCTTTTCTGCTCCTGCTAGCTTTGGCCTCCCTTGGGGTATCCTCCTGCTGTGCATCTTCTCCTCCACTCACTGGCCAAACAGATGAATGCCTCTTATGAATCTGGGTGTCTGTCACATCCTCTGGGAGATGGAAGTAGCCTCTATGCATGAGAGCTTCCCCAGAGGTTGGGCACGGGGGGGGGGGGGGGATCCAAACATGTCTGACTGATCTATGTGTTTCCTTCCTGGCTTCTCTGGGAGCTGAGGCTGAACCTGCCCATGGGTCCTTGAAATGCTTTGACCTAAAGTTTTCTGAAATAAAATATTTGGCAACATCTTAAAAAATTTTTGTAGGGCTCAGGCATGATAGCACATGCCTTTAATCCCAGCACTTGGAAGGCAGAGGCAGGAGGATCTCTTGAGTTTAAAGCTAGCCTGGTATACATGGTGAATTCCAGGTCAGCCAGAACTAAATGGTGAGACCGTGTTTCGAAGTGTGTGTGTGTGTGTGTGTGTGTGTGTGTGTGTGTGTGCAGTAAAGTGTTTACTGTGCAAGCATGAAAAACCAAGTTCAGATCCCCAGCACCCATGCAAAAGCATATATATCTGTAATCCTAGTGCTAATGGGAGACTGAGACATAAGGATTCCTGGAGCTCTCTCTAGCCAGACTAGTCAGTTGGTGAGCTGCACGCTTAGTGGGGTATCCTGTCAAAAAACTGTGATGGAGAAAAATGGAGGAAGACACGCCATATTAACCTCTAACCTCCACACAGATGTACAGGGGAATACACCTGCGGTACCCGCCACCCCCCCACACTTAGTTTTTATCCTGCAGTTTCTAGAAGCTTTGTACTTAACTTGAGATGTTGTTGGCAGATCTGAAATAGGTATAAGCTGATTGTCAAGCATTTTCATTTCATGCCATTTTTTCATAACTGGTGCTACAGGGATTGGTTTGGTGGGGATTACTTGTTTGTTTTTGTTTTTTTAATTTATGTGTATGGATATTTTGCCTGCATGTATATCTGACCACCGCTTGCATGCCTGGTGCCTGCAGAGGCCAAAGGACCATGTCCCATTCCCTGGAATGGGAATTATAGGTGTTTGTGAGCCACCATGTGGGTGCTATGAATGGAACCTGGGTTCCCTAGAAGGGCAGCCAGTGCTGCTAACCTCTTAGCCACCTTTCCAGCCCCATGTGTGGTTTTAAACTAAGGTTTACACATAACTTGCGCCACCTGCATCTTCTAGTATAGTGAGGAGACTGTTGAAGGCTTTGGAGGGAGCCCATTGAACTGGAATTCTCCTGGACTCTTGCTGATGGGGAATTTATACAATACTTCAGCCAAAACAGACAATTGATTCCCCAAATTCAATTTATTATAAGTTCAAAAAGCATCGGCAGGACTGGAAATGTAGCTCAGTGGTAGAGTGCTTTGCGTATCATGTGTGAGGTCCTGGGTTTGTTCCTAGCACTTGAAAATAAAAATACTGCTGCAGTTGTGTGATAAGCCCACTGGAATTGTGCACATAGGTCTAGGTGGTAAATTTTACCCTATCTGTGTTCATCATAAAGGCCGCTAGAGAGATTTGAGACCAAAAAACTAGAAAGAAATGTTGCCAAATGTCTTAGATGGCAACCTTGCATGTGCACATATGTGTGTATTGAAAAATGCATATGCATGTATATGCATGTGCAAGTATGAGCATGTCTGTCCATATTTACATATGTATGTATGTATATATGTGATGTTTGTACATGTGTGGGCATGTATATAAGTGTGAGCATGTGTGTGAGTGTGTGCATGTATACAAGTGTGAGCATGTGTATGCATGAGTGCACTCATGTGAATGCACATGTGTGCAAGTGTGTGAGCATGTGTGTGCACTGTGAAACAATGATTCCAAACTCTAACTTTCATTCTGACTCTGCTCTCCCATGCTTTTCTTTTTGCCTTTCAACATCTCTGCGTTTTGTGCTCGTTCCCTTTAACTTAAGAGGATCACTATGCCAACCAGAATTAATTACCTGCACAGTAAGTTATTTTTCATCTTGCCTTTTAAAAAAATTCTGTGTAATTGAGAGTACCCAGGTTACCCACTGACTTTCTCCTTGCTTGCTGGCCTGACCTCCCCTGTGGCTGGTTTTCTGTGTTCCTGGCTTCTAGGTAGATTGTCACTTTCATCAACCATCAGACAGGACACTTCCTCTGTCCTCTGGCTGTGATGGTTTCTGCAAGGTATCACCTGAGCAGCCTGACTGGAATAAGGGAGCCAGGCAGGGGTCCCTTTACTGATTTCCTGTCTCTCGAATGCACGGCCTGTCTGAGGCTGCTTTTGGACATCAGAGCAGGAGTTTCCATGTTGCTAGGGCCATTGTCTTCCTACATGCAGATTTTAATACAGACTCTCCCATTGGCTATTTATATGTGTCCCTTCACAGAAATAAACAGGATAGATTTAGAAGTGTGACAGCAGAGCTAGAATTAAGAATGATTTTCAACTTCCTCCGTGTTTTTTTTTTTCATGCTTCAGTCCCCTTGGGCTGTTTTTAAAAGGGAGACTAAGACCAGGGAGGGAATTTTTTCCCAGTGCTGGCTCCCCATTTAAAAATTATGATTTGCCTCAGATTTCACATAACACCAAATGAAAGTTTGAAAACATAGTGTGTGGAAGTCAAACCAGGATAGTCAGTGCTGATGTCTCCTTAAGCACTGAAGGTTTTTAAACTTAGCACAGACTTATGCTAATCACACCCTCAGGAAGGCCAGTGTGATATTTTATCATGTGGACACTCACATAATGGTGAGTCAAGAGAGTTTTCTTTTTAAGACTTTGTGCATGGAGCCTTCCGGTTCCTGTGTATTTAAATGACTTCCTGTGAACTGTGGCCATCTGCTGTGCTAGAGAGCTGAAAATCTTATCTCTGTGAGTGACCCCCCTCTGCCCATCCCTCAGCTACTAGCAGACTATACCCACTGTCTTCTGAGCCTACTTCCCTCACCACAGTGTGACTGTACCTCTCATCCTGATTGATATGTACATATAATATGTACAAGTAATTACAGAATTATTTGCCCCTAATGGTAATTGTGGTGGTGAGGTTTAAACACACAGTAAATGTGTTAGTTCTTGACTGGGTGTACAATTCTGTGGTTCTGTGGTAGAGGGTTTACCTGGTACCCATGAGTTGTGAGTTTGATATCTAGCACCACAAAAGAGAGACCAAGATAGATATCTCTCTGTCTCTGTCTCTCTCTCTGTGTCTGGCACACACACACACACACACACACACAGAGAGAGAGAGAGAGAGAGAGAGAGACAGAGAGACAGAGAGACAGAGAGACAGAGAGACAGAGAGACAGAGAGACAGAGAGAGGGCAGAGGGCACGGAGAGCGGGTGAGTTACTCTCACAAGTACAAGTGAATTTTCCTCATTGGAATGTCTCATTCTCCCTACATCCTGGTATCCTTCTCTGGAGATGGGATTCTTCTGGAATCCTGCCAAAGGCCATGCCAGTGTCTTGATCTGTCCACCCTGTCTGTATGCTCCTCCCCGAGACCATTAGGCATCCTTTGCTCCAGGCACCTGACAGCCACTTCTCAAGGGTGGGTCCCATTGACATTCAAGGTCAAACCCTTTCCCTAGAAGCACAGAAAAGCTAGATCTGGGCACACTAGTTTTAGGAGCCAATCACCTTGGACCCACACATATGTCATTGTGTGACCTGTGTAATGACTTCTCCAATTCTGATGTCTTCATTTTTTAGGGAGGGTTCCCCCAAACTCAGGAGTGCAAGCCTGCTGAAACAATCTCAGCACCCATATCAATGGAATTCCCTTCAGTCTGGAAGCCCATGTCATCCCTGTAGAAGCCATAACTCCCAAGAAGGTCTTACAAACCAGTGCAGGATGATTGCAGTGGGGGTACATAGGATAACATCCATTTCTGACTGATACTGGAAAATGAAGTTTAACAAACCAGCAGAGGGACTGCAGAGATCATGAGGGAGACTGGAAGAACAGAAAAACCTTGCCATAGGCCGCAGCATGGCGTGGGACCTGAGAACAGGTGCAGACCTGCTGAATGGGTGGTGCTGCCAAACTAGCAGTTTAAACCTTGGACATTTGTACAGATCATCACAAACACACACTTAAAGTCTTCCCTTTTCTTTCTTTTCTCCCTTCTAAATTTTTCTGCAGTTGTTCTTAGCCAAACAGCTGAGAAACAATAAAACTAAAGACTCTCAACTCTATCAATCTTACAATTTTGTTGAAAGTGTTTGACACTTCAGGGCAGGAATTTGATTTTAGGCATTCATGCTGCAATTTCTGTTGGGCAAGTTGTAGTGATGGCCAGGAAGTGTGAAGATTACCTTTCAAAACTGTTTGTGGGCTAGAGAGATGGCTCAGAGGTTAAGAGCACTGGTTGCTCTTTTCAGAGGTCCTGATTCAATTCCCAGAACCCACATGGTGGTTCACAACCATCTGTGATGAGATCTGGTGCCCTCTTCTGGTGTGCAGGCATACATGCAGGCAGAACACCAAATGCATAATAAACCTAAAACAACAACAACAACAAAACCTTTGAATATAACCACCCTGTACCTGTCTTCATGGCCTGACTTCCTACCTTAACCCTGGACTGATCTAAGCATGTCCCTTGTGTCCGAGGCACCTGTGCAGCTTTAATTTCTTTTCCTGTTGCTGTGATAAAATGCTTCAACAAAAGCAACATAAGGAAGAAGAGTTTATTCTGGCTACATTCAAGGTTACAGTCCATCATGGTGGGGAAGTCAGAGACATCAAGACCTTGTAGTAGCTGTCACATCACATCTGGGGTCAGACAGCAGGGAGGGATGAATGCTAATGTTCAGTTCCATGCAGTTCTACACAGTCTGGGATCTCAGCCAGGAAGTGTCGTCACCCAGAATGGGCAGATATTCCCACCTCAGTTAATGCAATCAAGGCAAACCCTCACAGGCATAGATGAATGCTCAGCCTTAGCTTGGCTTGTTTCTAGCCAGCTTTTCTAACCTAATTTAAATTATCCCATTTCTCTTCTATGTTTTGCCTCTGGGCTTTTTACCTTTCTTTATTCTATATATCTTTCTTCCTTTCTTACTCTGTGGCTGGCTGTGTGACTGGCCCCTGGCATCCTCCTCTCCCTTGCCTTTTCTCTCCTCCCTCTTCTCTAGATTTCTCCTCCTATTTATTCTCTCTGCATGCCTGTTCCACATATCTTTCCTCTTGCCTAGCTATTGGCCGATTAGCTCTTTATTAGCCCAATCAGGTATTTTAGATAGACAAAGTAACTCAGCTTTATATAGTTAAGCAAATGCAAATAAAAGAATGCAACACATCTTTGCATCATTAAGCAAATATTCCACAGCATAAACAATGTAATGTTCCACAACACAAGACAGTGCCTGTCTCTCTTTCCTTGGCCAACCCCTATAAACACTGCAGCCTTGGGTACTGATTACTTGAGGCAGGGCAATAGCCATTAACCCAGCCACGTGAAATGTTCCTTTTCCTAGATGTACTAGACCCTGATACCTCAGACGGCCCAATGGAAAACCAGACTTCAACAGTTTAGATAAAATGCTGGCTGAATTTTTGTTCGGAGGATGAGGGCATGGCTGTTTGCACCTCTGCCTGCTGGGGTTCCATGAACCTAGTGGAACAGTGTTCATTGGTTTCTGACCATCATCAATGTCCTGATGCTTTTGTCTCCTTTCCTGGCTATGTTCATGTTCCTGGGGGTGTAGAAAGTGCCATAAACCTAGTGTATTAAATGGTAGTTTTATGAGCTTTTATTTCTAAATTGGAACCTGAGATGGGAGTGTCCATTGAACTGGCTCCTTCAGAGACCAGGAAGAAGAAACTACCCCTAGCCTTTTTGACTTCAGGAACTTGCAACAATCCTTGACTTTCCTTGCCTTATAGATACCTCTATCTTTGCCTCCCATCCTCCACATCATTTTCCCTCTCAGTATCGCTTCAAATTTTCTTTTGTCATAAGGCCACCATCAGGAATGTTTTATTAGCCCCATCTTAATTATCACTTTTTAATTTGGTCACCTCTGGAATAACTCCATCTCCAAATAAGGGTACATTCTGAGATTCTGAGGTCTAGGAGTTCCATACAGGAAATTGAAGACAATACAGTTCAGCTCATAGCACTATCCTGACCCAAAACACAGTCCCTGCCCCAGGCCAAGCTTCAGTTCAGGACATACAGGGGCCCTTCCTATCACAAGGGTTCTGGGGTCTACCATTGACCCAGGGCGTGGATTATTATGCTCCTTTCTCAGGCTTTTATTTACCCTCCAATCTCCTCTATTTCATGCGTGAGCTCCCCAGCTGTTTGTGCTCTTTGGGAATTCCAAAGCTAACCTAGAGCAGAACCCAGGAGGTGCTTGCAGGTCTGAAATCCTCACAGACCCTCCTTCCCTACATCCAGCCCAGGTAACCTAGGACTTAGAACCCCCTGGAAGCCAGGAGTACCCGTACTATAGCTCAGTCCTCTGCCCAGATTATGCTTCTGAAGTTACAAAATTACCCACAGGAGTGTCTTTGTGTTTACTCATTGGCTAGCTCCAGAAATGTGTAGCTGGAGGTTAGTGCCCAGCAATCCAAACACTAACTGGTAGTTGGCCTCTTGTTCAGAGACAGGACTCCCTCTAGGAACAATCCCTCCCACCTGAGGCAACACCAGGCTATGGTTTAGAGCCTGATATTTGTGTGACTGGTACTTGCTGCCTTTTCATTCTCTTTTCCTGCATCCTCCAGACCCTAGCAATTGCCTGTTTGTGACAGGCAATTTGTTTGTTAAGGGAGAGGTTTTAAAATACTTTCAGGCAAGTTTATACAGATTAAATTAGCTCACCCCCCTGGGGCAGTCCAGCTTCTCTGCTTCTGCCGATAGGACAAGACAAACTCGTCACCAAAGTTAGTCTGCCAAGTGGCTTATTAAAGCAACCAGCTTCCATTGTGAATATGGATGCTAAGGAGATCCCTACCAAGTCTCCTCCCCACCATCAGATGCTAACATGTTGGCATGTGTTTTGTGCACAGAAGCACATCCATGCTCTTCCTCCATCCATGAGCAACACAGGAGGCCATGTATGTGTGTCATGACTGTTAGATGTGGCTCATATGCCAAACAAACCTTCAAATTCAGGACAGGCCTTCCTGGCTCCATGGCCAGGCTTCTCTTCTTCTGAATACAACCCCTTGAGTCAAACAGTAATGAACTTCATGGGCTAGCCTGGCACTTCCCTCGGCCTTGCTGGTCCTGGGCTAATAGGATGCTAAACTAATTGGTAATGATGTTGAGCTGCTTCTTGTCTGCGCTATGCCTGCACTTGACTTTCAAGCACCATTTTCACCCCAACTAGTGCGACCACTCTTCGTTTCCTGTTCCATACACCATACTTGGCATCTGTGCCAAGGAGTTGAACCATACAAAGTCAAGGACTTCCTTTCATTTTTGTCTTGACCACTTCTTTTTCCTTCTCTGTTTTTGTTGTTTTCATTGGTGTGTGTGTGTGTGTGTGTGTGTGTGTGTGTGTGTGTGTGTGTGTGTGCATGCTGGGAATTGAACCCAGGACCTTGTACATGCTGGGCAAGTACTTTACCACTGAGCTACATTCTCAGCCTAACATGGGTTGAAAATGATCCACTAACACATTTCATATGACTTAGTCTCTAATATGGGTGAGTGGGTGAGTAGATGCATGGACTGGTAGATAAAATAGATATAATATCCTAATGTAAGTATAGAGAATGACCTAGAATTAATTAAAAAAAATAAACCTTATTCCTCAAAGAACAATACTGCATTAAGAACACGAGTGCCGTGATTTATGGGACTCTAAGCTCACTGTTAGGAGCATGTCCTTCATCCCTGGGCATACAGCACAGCCCTGCTTATCACAGAGGTTCTAATAAAGGGGAAGGGTGACAAGGAATCCCGACCTCCTCACTCAACAGTTCAGGCTTGCCAGTTCTGCTGTTGGAAGGTTCTTACTTTCACTCTGTAAAAGTGGCTCCCACCAGCTTGACTATGGTGTCTGCCTCTGTGGGCAGTGGCTATTCCTTGAGGGAGCGCCTGGCTTCTTGTCACGGGTGTCTGACAACTTTGCTTCCTCCTTGGTCTGGGCTCATCATCATCCCATAGCCCTGACCACTCCTGTGCTCCCCTCTTGCAGAAGGAATTCTAAGGAAAAGCGCCAAGCTCTTCTTCCGCCGGCGACACCAGCAGAAAGACCCAGGCATGAGCCAGTCACATAATGATCTGGTATTCCTGCAGCAGCCAGAGGGGAAGCTGAAGAAGGGGGCAACCCTCAGCCGGCTCTTGAACAAGAAGCTGATTCCCAGGCACAGAGGCAAACACACCTTGAATGGAGCACCCAGAGAGCCCTGCACGTAGCTCTCCCTGTCCTCAAAGCTGGAGGGTGGGACCACAAAGGCCCCCACCAGAACAGCGGAGCCAGTGCCATCAGATGTGTGTCAAGCTTGTTTTTTTTTTTTCTGATAATCTTGATTTTTAAAGGGAAAAAGCAATCTGCCTTGTTTGGCCAGGAAGCTTCCTGGAAGACGAGTGATAATGCAGTCCAATTTGCTACCAGATACTCAGTGGGAGCACCTGGCTCCAGCTGTCACATGTCATCTAAGTGTTGAGGATAAGATGGATACCGGCATCACATGCTCCGCTAGACTATGGATAGTAGGCAGGAGGGATCCCAGTCCACCTACTTCTTCCTCTCTCCTTCAGGGACTGTTGTGTCTGGACCATGGCACGTGGGCTGCTGCTGTGAGCAGGATGGACCACCTCACATATCTTGCTGTTTAGAATTAAATAGTGCATCTGACCCTGGGGACAGGTGTATGGATATAGGAAGGATTTTTGAGCCATGAAGAAACTGCAATAGGAAAAAGATGTGTTTTGACAAGTGTGAGAAGGTGTTCACCTTTGATATTAGCCATAGAAGTTAAAAACTTATGCAAACACTAAATGTGTCCTGTGCAGATTATGCCAGACACTTCCAGATTTACTTGAGCCTTCTTGCAAATAGAGGTGTAGAGATTCAGATATGTTTTTTGTTTGTTTGTTTGTTTGTTTCTCATGCCAGGGGCTCTGTTTTTTTCCCATGGCATAGGCAGTATGCTAAGCTCAAATATGCTGAGGCTGACTTTGGGAGCAATGAGTGACAGCTTATAGGGCATGACCACACATATATTGTTCTTGCCAAATACAGCCAGCAGATAAAACAAAGAACTTTTAGGGCAACTGAGGAAATTATTCTGTATCCCAGGTGCCAATTAGTCTCAGGCATAGAAGTTTCATAACAATGGGCCAAACTTGCAGGAATTTTTATGGGATCTTCAGAATTCTACTGTGAACAGGGACTTCTGGCCACATTTTGGGGATTCTTGGTTTTGGTTTACTGTGGCAAAAATATAAAGTTGGCACCTGGGTTCAGTGTCCCCCGTATCCATAAGGTGCTGTCCTCGTCTGTGTCCCTGGCACTGTAGATTCACCAGGTCTCACAGCCCTCCAGAGTCACTGTCCGTGGGGTGGGGTGTTGTGTTTTGACCTGTCAATGATAGCCATTTTCTTCCCATAACAGTGGAATGGCAGACAGGAGGACCTGAGTTCTATCACTGATATGAAGTGAGGAAACTCCTTCTGGCCTCCTCTGTTCTTTAGAAACTTCAGGGGCAAAGTCACTGTTGTTTACCAAAAATGTCTATGAAAGCCAAAATTATAGGAATATGTTCTTTTTTAATTTTAGCAAGAGAGATTGGAAAACCACATCAGAAATCCATTTGTTTTTTTCCTTGGTTCGTTTACTCAGTTCTGGGGATTAAAACTGTGGCTTTGTGAACGCTGGACAGGCCCTTCTCCACTGAACTATTTCCCTGGCCCTCTTTTAACTTATTATTGTTATGATTATTATTATTATTGGGTTAGGTCTCACTAAAGTGTTGACTGGGCTGCCCTGTAATTCATTCTGTAGCCCAATTATACCTTGAAACTCTGATCCTCCTGCCTTCATTTCTCAAGTAGCTGGGAGTACAGACCACAGCCACTGGGCCCAGTGAATTTTAGTTCCAAATAAACATAGAATAAAAAAGAAATTGAAAATTCTTGATGGGTGTGGTGATGCAGGCCTCCTGTGATTCCAGCACTTAGCAAATGGAGAAAGGAGGATGTTAGCTTCTAAGCCAGTCCGGGCTACATGAGACCCCCTTCTCAAAACAAACAACAAATATAGAAGAAAAAAGAACCTGAATGAATCTCAAGTAGTTTTCAGGTGACTTTGAAGAGACATTTTAGCATGATTTGCCTTTAAAGATCACCTCATGTTATGTCACGGCTAAGTTCCAGAATGGATCCATCAATACCAAATTTGTTCTCAAAGCCAGTTATCCCCACTACTCTTTTTGGGAATGGACATGATTTAAATGTTATGCTTTACTTGAAGTATTGTTATTCCACACAGTGTGCAGAATTGTGATGTATAGCTTTCAATTCCCAGAGACTATGGTGTGTCAGAGATTCTTATTCTGATGCTATATTTTCAGTGTGGGGCAGTAGCCCTCATCTAACATGCTTGGGGCCAGAGGTGTTTCAGGCACATTTTGGATCTTGGAATATCTTGGTAAGTTTTTACCATCTAAGCATCTCTGAATCCCAAATATAAAATTTTCAGAAACACGAAACTCTTTGAAAGCTATGGCACAGGCAGAGTTTTAGGTTTCAGACTTTTGGGTTAGGGAATGCTCAGCTTATGCAGGTTTTGTTAGTTTGATTGCTTTTGACATTTATGTTCAGTTTATTCAGGTGTGAAGGCATCAGAATTTTAGGTTATACTTCTCTCTCTCAGTAGTTACAAAAACAAACAAACAAACAAAAAACCCAAAACAACAACAACAAAAAACCCAAAAAACAAATGGTTTGTAGTCACCCAAGCCTCCAAATGACCCTATGAGCATCCTGCTCCTGGCTTCCTACCCACATCTAAGACCTGTCCTCTAGGGTCTCCGTGCAGAGATGGGGGCACAAACAGGTAGCCTCAGGGCCTTCCGTGTGCTGTGAAGTCTCTTCTCCAAGCTGTTTTTCCACTTCTGTTTCTTCCCGGTATGGGGTAATTATGTTGAAATGAACATCGTTAAGATTATGCACCAGGTGCCAACAGTGTGCATGTGTGAGTCACCTCTGTTCTCCTATCTCCGCTGCATTCTTTTGTGGCTTCAGTTTCTGTCTTGAAATTTTGGCAGAGTGCTAGTCTTAAAGCAATTTCTCATGAACACTAATTCAGGTGTCTGTGAATCTAAAGCACATCTCAGGTTGGTTGGAGAGAGCTGGCTACATTTCCCCCGTCCTTCATGCAGTCACTAAATAGAGCTGTTTGTGTATGAGGTTGGTGTAGCAGTAACAAACTTAGGACTCCCTTGCTCTGGTTGAAAATCTACTATGAGCAAGAGGATTTAGACAAAGCACTTTATTTTAAATTTTAGTTTAAGTTCAAAACCAGCCCTGCTTCCTGGCTGTGGAAGGAAGCAGGCCATTTACTGCTGACCAGTTCCAAATCAGATTTTTGCTGGACACATTTACAGAAAAGAGTTGCAAATGTTCTTCTCAAGCAGAAAGGGGAAGATTAATTTACATTGCTGCTACCCAGAGTGGTGTTTCTTGGTTAATAAGCTCAGGGTTGTCAATCTTTCTTCAGCTTTCAAAGTACAATCTGATAGATGGTGGAAGGTAAAACATGTCTCTGTCACACAGAAACAGGTGTGGGTACTGACCCCAATTACAGGCACTGTCCCCACTATCTCAACAGTCCAAGACCTGAGGACCAAAGCACCTGCATGGGTACAAAGACACTGTTCAAACCAGCAGTGCAAGCTCCTTATGTAAAATGTCCCTGTTATGTGTATAAGTATTGGAATCACCAAGCTGCTTGGTTCACTTTGCTGATGGTGGAGTGATGTGATTATTCCCAGGGCAGTAAGCCTGGTTCTCTGCCCAGTCATGTCGAACCTCTACTGCAAAGAGAATAAAGTAAAGGCTTCCTGGGTATGTGGTGAGCCTGATGCTGGTGTGTGGCAAATGGCATCTGTGACAATGATTGTATTTGCTGCAGCACTTTAGATGTGGGTGTCACCCTGTACCACCCTAGGCAGCAGGACATGGCTGCAACTTTACTGACCTCTCAAGAAATAAATGTGCTCATGGAAAACATTGAGCTGAGTTCTTTCCAAGCCCTGGGTTGTCCTGAGTACCAGGGGCTTCTCTAATGTTTGAATTACTGCTATCTTTTGTCCCTTTGTATGATTGGCCATTGCAACCAGCTTACCAAAAATATGTACAGATACCTTCTTTGACCCTCATTACTGTCAATGGACTTCCCCCCTTGTGTTCTTCTATTTTGTGTGCTATTGAGCACCACCAAAGCTGGATCTAAAATTTACTTTAGGATTTTAGTAGTTCCAGGGACCTTCCGGGGAATGATGAATTGTGGGTGCTGTAAACCAGGGTCTGTCTTGGCCTGGGTCCCCCAAATCAGTGCCTGACATGGCCTGTGGGATACATGTTTGGGGAGTGAAGGCAGGGGAGCATTCGTCAGTCTGGGTCAGATGAGTGTAAAGGGACTGGGTAACAGCTCAGCCATGGGTATGTGACAGTATTTATGCCTGCACAGGAGCTGCCAATGGTTTCTGGGATGGGATTAGGGCAGCCTTGTCCCCTGCTGCAAGCATCTCATCCCCTTTGTGGTCTTCAGTTTCTGTGGTCTCTGCCATGAGCACAAACAAAAGCATTGTATTTGGAGATATGCTGAACTGAGGAACCACCAGAGTCCCACTCTCAGTCTGCTCGTCTATGGGACAGAATATGGGGGTAGCTAGCCATTATAATCTGAGTCACTCCTGAGCCAAGCCCCATACAGTTTCTGTATCAAAGGTAGCATCTGTTGTGGAGATGTGTTACTTTTTGTTGCTGTGATAAAAATACCTTGACAAAAAGCAATTTAGGGAGGAAAGGGTTTATTTTGGCTCATAGTTCCAGAGAGAGTAGAGTCCATTATGGCATGGAAGGCATGACAACAGTTAGGGAAAGCATAGTGAACAGGAGTGGAAGTTAGCCGATCACATTTTCATTCACACAGAAATACGAACAGAAGGGGGGCAAGGATATAAATCCTGAAAGCCCAGTGGTGTGCTTCCTGAAGCAGGGCTGTACGTCTTAAAGCAGCGGTGCTCAACCTGTGAGTCACAACCCCTTTGGGGGGTCAAATGATCCTTTCACAGGGGTTGCCTACGACCATTAGAAAACACAGGTATTTACATTATGCTCCATAATAGTAGCAAAGTTAGTTATGAAGCAGTAACAAAAATAATGTTATGGCTGGGGGTCATGACAACACAAGGAACTGTATTAAAGGGTTACAGCATTAGGAAGGCTGAGAACCTCTTTCTTAATGGTTCCACAGCCTTTCCAAACTGCACCGTTAGCTGGGGGTTGAGTGTTCAAATACTCCTCCAGAGCCCACAGAAGGACCTTTCAAACCAAGGTCTGCTTTGTGCTTACATCCCAAGAGAGGACTAGAGGGCCACAGTTGTCACAATTTGCCAGCTGTGGAGGCTGATCTCTGATGGCACTTCCATCAGGAATCCTGGGTTCCTGACAGTCCATCTTCCTTGCCCAGGTTGGTCTACATCAGCTACCCTTGGTCACTTTGGAATGCACACCCTCATTCCCAGTATTGTTCCTATTCTATTAGACTGGGCAGACTCAGACCACCAAGGGCCCACAAGGACAGCTCTTGTCATGGTTAGTCCCCATCTGTCAGGCTCTGCTGCTATGCATTCATCTTTCTTCCCAGCAAAAGCATCAATGGCATGAGGATGGACATCAGTTGGTGACTCCTCCACACAAAAGCTTAGCTTCTGTCCATCCTGTCCCATTTACCTAGTGTCCAGGACTTAGATGCTGGAGGGAATGTAGGTAACATATTGTTTGGGCACCTCCAAGTGCAGGGTGCTGTAGATATATGCCTACCTGTCTGCCTAGCTCCTCAGTCCACACACAGTCTTGCCAACTTTCATGGTTAATACAAGCCCCTCTTCCAGGTCCCTTCCCCTGGATCCCTATAGCCTGCTCCACCAATTCTCCATACATTCCCTCTCCTGTTCCCCATCCACACAGCCAGTTATTTACCCTCTCCCCATGCCGGAGGGCAGTCATCCTCCATCTCTGCAACCATGCACCTCTGTCCCAGGGTTCTTGAATATATGCAGCCGTTTCCTAGTCTCACTGTCCGCAAAACCCCTGCCAGCTCCCACTCCACACAGTCCGTCCCAGGTTCCCCGACTATGCCGCCCGTTATCCCTGACTCCCTGTCCAGGAAGCCAGTTGTCCCAGCTCCCGATCCAAGCTGCCGAGCCCTAGGCCCGCCCCGTCTGCCCGCGCTGCGCACTACAACTCCCACGATGCCGCGCCACCGCCCCCCCGGCTTCCGGTGCTGCGCAGTTTCCGGAGCGGATCGCAACCCGGAGTCCGGATCCGACCCCGCTCGGCACATTCCACAGGCAGGTAAAGCCCCGGGCCCGTGCTCGCCGCGGCCCCACCGCGTGCCTCCCGCTGCGCCCCGCGCCCCGCGCCCGGCCCCGGCCCGGCCTCCACCCGTGCCCCCCGCGCCCGCCCCGGTCCGGCCGCCGCGCCGCCTGTTCTTTGTTACAGTCGCGGGCGCCGTGGGCGATCGGAGTCAAAACCCGGCTGGATTCCGGAGCCGCTCCGGGATCGCCCTGCGCCCGCCGGGTTCCGCCGCCGCGGGCTTGGCCTCCGCCCTGGGTGCCCGACCTCGGGCCCGCGCGTCTAGCCCGCGCCAACTGCCCGCCACGAGCCCGGCCCACGCCAACCCTCGCCCGGCCGCCCACTCGGGGGCTCGGCGTCCCCCGCTCCGGCCCAAGCATGGGCGATGCGCCCCCGGTGCGCCCAAAGCCAGGCCCGGCGTGGCTACGGGCTCAGGTCCCTACAGTCCCTTCCCGGCTACCCGGCCGCCTTACCCGGTTTTCGGACGCAGCCCAGGGAGGGGCCTTGGTTTCCAGCCCCTTTGGCGTTTAAGAAAGTCCGAGGCTGCGCCATGGCTCCCAGGCCCTGGCGCTTTACTTGTCGCTACCTTTTGGTGGCCCAGGCACCATAGTGGACAGAGAGGTTGGAGACGTGCCCTCCTACCAGATGGGAAAAGGGTGGACAGGAGGGGCCCTGGGTCAGGTGGAGTCTGTGTGCTCCTGAGGTGAGTTTTGAGAGGGCAGAGGTAGGGCACCAATCCGTGGTGGGTAGCTCGTGCGCACTTGTCCAGCAGAGCCCTTCTTGCAGTGGATGGAGGGCCTCTTCACACATGCTCACAAGCATCCCCCTCCTCCGAGGTGGATTAAAATGGTAGAAGCAAGTGTGTGAGCCGAAGACACGTGGACCTGTGCCTGAATTTAAAGCTGCCAACGCTTCTTTGAAAAACACATATGCTAGAGCCAGTCAGAACCCTCAAACGAAGTGGGGTCCTGAAGACGATTTTCAGAGTAAAACTCTGAAAGAAGTCTGGCTCTGTGGGAACCTCTCAGAGGTGGCAGGGACAGTACTCCCTGGAGAGTGCAATGATGTATTTGTTGAGACATGATCCCCTACACACCCCGACCATATTTTGCTTCAAACCTATGGGCTTTCCTTCCACATCTTAGCTGCTGTAGCTGCTTCCTCAGACTTCTCCTGAAATCACTGCCTTACTCTGAAATAAACCTATAGATCAGATTATTAAAGGGGAAAAGGTGTTAAGTTTTCTCCTTACTTTTTTTCCTTTTACTTCTGTCTGTGATTTACATGAATGTCAGAATATACTAATTGTTCTCTTTGGGGAGCAGACAGGGTAGTTTATTTCTCCAGAAGACAAATGGGTAAATTAAAACATCAGTCACAATCAGGCTGATGGCAAGTGCTGTAATCCCAGCACTCAGGAGGCTGAGGCTGGAGGATCTTGATATCCAGAGAAGCCTGGGCCACACAGACCCTTCTACAAACAAACCCAGCTACAATTACAAGGCTCTCCTAGTGTGTTTACCTTTGAGAATTACCATTGTTTCCAGGTCCTCCTGATGTTTTTCTTTTTTTTCCCCTGTTTGGTTATCTGTGCAGGAGGTGGGGAAGACAAGGCTGCATTTTGCAGGTGTAATGGAGTTTAAAACTGGTCACCAGCCGGGTGTTGGTGGCCCATGCCTTTAATCCCAGTACTCGGGAGGCAGAGGCAGAGGGAGGCGAATTTCTGTGAGTTCGAGGCCAGCCTGATCTACAGCGAGAGTTCCAGGACAGGCTCCAAAACAATACAGAGAAACCCTGTCTCGAAAAAGCAAAAGAAAAACAAACAAACAAACAAAAAACTGGTCACTAGCAGTGACTTAATGGCTGTCCAGACTGTTTCTCATTTGCAGGCTGACACTTGTTCAGGGTACCTTACCCAGATTTATTTGCCAGGCCATTTCTGTGGTAAATATTTTATTCATCTAGGGAGCAATGGAAGAGTTGCAGGAGGCAGTGTGGACCATAAGTAACAATGGTTAGGCAAGAATGTAAGGACGTGAAGGAGGAAGGCTGCTGGGTGTGCAGGGGTTAGCACACTCAGAGCTGAGACAAGAACCATCTGCCTAGGAAAGGGTGGCTGAGTGGGAGACCAGTGCTGTGGGGGAGTCTAACCTCTTGGTGGAGAGCAGAGTGGGCTCAGGCAATGACATGCCTGACATGACAATATGAGGCCTGGGTGGGAGCATAGTTGGGATCTCCAGCTGGGAAAGGCCAATGGACCAGGGTGGAAAAGTAGCAAGATGGTACTCACAGAGAGCTTTGATCAGGGATGGCACAAGGCCCCTGTCCTTAGAGCTGAACCTGTGGCAGCCTTGGGGAACCAGGGCAACACAAGAGTACAGGCCAGTAGATTACACCCAAATTGGAAAGAACACTGAGGAGATGATCTGGCCATGAGGGGTGTCTTGGAGGCACCAGTGGGCCCACAGTTAGGCATCTTCAGGTGCCCTTCAGAGATGCTGTGGGCATGAGTGGGACCTGGCAGACTCGAGGGCAGGAGACCACGTTGATCCACTTATCCTCTGGCTCTGTGTATTTATGGCCCTAGAGAATGGGTGTCTTTTTCTACGGGTATGGGGGATATGGAGTCACTGTGGATACCCACCC